GGAGGAAAAGGAAAATTAAATACCAAAAAAAAAAAAAAATGGGAAAATGGGAAAATAGTAAAATAGTGCTAGGGTATATGGCACGGACTATGTGGGCATCTTATTGAGATGCTAAGTTGAACATCGTGAACCCTGGCAAAACAAGAAATTGTGACAGGTCGAGTTTTCTTTTTCTCTCCCCTAATTCTTTTGCACGGATACCTGGGGATTAAAAAGCACACCTGGGCACATGCAGCAAGGGTGTCATGTAAGCCAATATACCTGCTCATTGCATGGCGTCAGATTCATCACATTATTGTATATATACTCCGTATTGGCTTCTGTGTCATGCAGGAGCTACATATTCAAGAACATGGAGTATGGAGTAATAGCAACATATGTATCTCCCACGAGAAACGAACTGAATCAGAATAGTTAATTCGAGGGTAGTACATTACTCAGTATAATGTGACCATATCAAAGATGGGAATACCCGGTAGAGATCGAGTGGGGGAAACAAAGAATAATTCTAGACTCTATCTCTCTTTTCCTCTTTTTTTTTAAAACATTTACATTCACATTCACATTTACAGAACAATAGTAAGAAAAAGGTTGACATTTCTTTGAACTTCAAATCTACAAAATATCTCCCAAATCCCATTGATGCCGCTCATCGGGAAACCTCGAAAAGTTCGATTTCCGAACGCACAAAAACCTACCAAGAACCGCCCAACCTCAACATTAACTCCAACCAGGACAATTATGACAACTATGGATACTATGAATACTATGAATACATCTGACTCCAACCAACCGCGCCCGGGGATCCCGGCCTTGTTCACGCAGCCGCCGCCCATCCGCGACCCGCTCATCACTGAGACAGTCGATCTGCAGAGCGCGACGCTGGAAAAGTGCCTACCTTTCCTAAAAGGAATCCATAGCGCCCAAAAGGATTTTAATGACTATGGTGTGCCCGCTCTACAGCGTGATCTTCATGCCGGCTTCCTCTATGATGCCCTCGAGGATTATCCCGAGGGGTTCGTCGCCATGGACGCTAGCCGCCCGTGGATTGTGTACTGGGCGTTGGCAGGACTTGCCATGCTGGGAGAAGAGACCACTCAGTTTCGTGAACGGTGTGTGCATGCTTTTACATCCTTGCTTTTTTTCTTTTTCTTTTTCTTTTATTTTTATTTTTTTACTTTCCTTTTCCCCGCCTCGTTCTTCCCCAATTTGCTTTTTCCTATCTGTCATATATCCACAAAATGGAGAGAGCCTCTGGGAGATATACCTTGATTGGAAAAGATCATCTGATCTGTACAACATGAAACATGAAAAAAGCCCATTCTAAACTTTTCCTCTTTATTTTAGTGTGATCACTACGCTTCGGCCAATGCAGAACCCCACAGGTGGTTTTGGCGGCGGCCATGGCCAGACATCCCACCTGGCGGGAAGTTATGCAGCCGTGTTGTCGTTGGCTATGGTTGGAGGCGAGGAGGCCTTTGGATTGGTGGATCGATACGCGATGTGAGTTGTCTCCGGCAGCGTTCTGCATGTGCTTCTTGTGTGATCCTGTGCGTCTGACCCAGTTTCTGGCTTTCCCAGGTGGCAATGGATCGGTCGATTGAAGCAGCCAGATGGGGGATTCCGGGTTTGTGAGGGTGGGGAGGAAGATGTGCGGTAAGTGAAGCTCCCAGGGAACAGGTGCTTGCTTGTCCCATCCCCGTTCCCCCATTCCCCAATGCAAGATCTGACATGTCATTAACGCAGTGGCGCATATTGCGCTATGACCCTAATCTCGCTACTCGACCTGCCGCTGACGCTTGCTCCGGGCTCTCAAGCGCGGGAGGCGGGATTGGAAAGCCTTACGAGTGGTCTTCCTGAATATCTCTCACGATGTATGAGTTCTGGTGGTTTGGTTTACAGCAGACATGAGAGAGATATGCTGACCCTCGCCCTTAGGCCAAACGTTTGAAGGTGGTATCTCCGGCAGCCCTGGCTCGGAGGCCCATGGGGCATATGCCTTTTGCGCTCTGGCATGTCTGTCTATCCTGGGACCCCCCGAAGAGACCTTCAACAGGTAGGAGACTACCCTAACCTGGAATGCTCTGTCTATTTCTCATATGCTAATGGTTCCTGGCAGACACATGGACATTCCCATGTTAGTGTCATGGTTATCCGCACGCCAGTCCGCCCCGGAAGGTGGTCTATCCGGACGAACAAATAAGCTAGTGGATGGATGCTACAGCCACTGGGTTGGTGGATGTTGGCCATTGCTTGAATCTTCTTTGGCGGGAAAACCGGATAACACCCAGCCTCCAGCGAACAGTCTTTTCAGCCGCGAAGGTTTAACACGATACATCCTTGCATGTTGTCAAGGGACCGACGGTGGTTTCCGTGACAAACCGGGCAAGTAAGTTCCTCCTATCTGAGTCTGAGCCAGTTTCTTTCACGTGTGGCTGACCGAGATCAAGGCACGTCGATTCATATCACACCTGCTACGTTATGGCAGGATTGAGCGCGACTCAAAATCTTCACTACCGGACAGACTCGAGTGTTGCGAGCAACAACTTTACATCCTCATTCTCCTGGAAATCTTCACCGAACCGTGAGCCGGGCAATGTGTTTTCACAAGGTGATCGACTAGAGCCAATGCACCCTTTATATGTGATCCCGCACAAAGCCGCGGAGAAAATGCGGCTCTGGTCCGGGGCCCAGCCCCTCACTATCTAACCGGAAGAGGCGTGAGCCGACGCCATATCAAAAAGAAGACACGGGACAAAACGCCACCATGGATGAGATTTCCTTCCAAAAGTCTCTCGAGGTTACAGTACAACATAGGTTGAAGCAGGGTGTCATTGGTAACCAGGGACTCCGAGCGAGTGCATTATGCATGATTAGTCTTGGATGCTTGAGACTGCAAGCCACCGCAGTCATAGCAGCGGTCATGGCATGGGGGCCACGAGAATGATTTCGACCAAGCCAAGGAGGATTCTGTGAATGAGATCGAGACGCAAGGGGTTGGATTCGGGGGCCAGAATATGACTTTACAACATAGGTCATAGCACATAGCACCAATTCCTTCAGTTTCTTATTTTTTTGTGTTGGCAGTTTCACCGAGTTTCCGAAGTTTACAAAAAAGTTTCCTCTAGCGCGAGGGTGAAGAGTTTACTTTTCCCACTCTGCGTCGATCAATATGAAAATGCTCCTACGATGTACACAATGTGTTTGCCACCAAAGACACAAGCTGCACGAGGCCCAAGAGGGCAAAAGTAATCATCAGTACCAGATTATGCAGATAAATCCAACGCCTTTCCCCACTGCAATGCCAGCTCATCACTGCATCCGATGCCTGTCAAGTAACTGAGGTTGCTCGAGGGCTGCATGCATTTTCTCATTCTCGTTATACCCACTTTGATTCTGTCTACTTGGATTATTTCATTGACTCATAGCCTCTTTCACAAGCAATTGACCCCTCTTCAGACGCGTTCTGCACAACATGAACGGCTCCTCCTTGGCGCCAATCACCATTCGCAGAACTGCGCGTCTCGCAAATCCATAAGGGCGGCAAATTTAATTGTACTCATCTGCGGGGCCAAAAATGAAATACAAAGGCCATTCTGAGAATCAATGTCAGCCAAAAAAAAAAAATAACCTGTGTACGGGAGAGTGAGTATTGGATAGTATATTATAGCACCACCATAGCACCACTATTCCATTCAAACCCACACCGAAATAGTTACTGGGATCATAATCTTCAGGTATTACCCTTCTGCAAGCAGATTACAAGGTCTCCCTTAGTCTCCGAGAATGTTTATGTTTCGATCGGCAAATTGCAGGGACATAATCAGACAGCTCACGGTGACTCCCGGTGCCTCAGACTCGGTTCGATTCGACTGGCAAAGAGATATGCCAGCGCATCAGTAAACCCGCCGAGAAAACGGCACACGAAATAGGTCGAACACCCGTTTGAGTTACTGTGACTCTTTTTTTTTGGAGTCTTTTCCGAGGTCCAATGTGAGTCTGGGGTTTTCGTGCATCTATCGTCTTCTCTCTGCTCTTCACTGCTTGTACTCTGTTTACTTGGTGGAGGTAGTCTATACCCGGATTCCAGATCCACGTCCTATAGTCTTCTTTGAGGTTTGGTTGCTTACTATTTTCTGTTTATTGTTTACTAGTATAGTACTATTCCTGCTTATTATTACTGTTTACTATATCCTTGTCTTTTCTTTTTTTTTCCCCTTCAGTCTTTCAACGGTGGGTATTAGAATCTTTGTAGTTTGACTTTTTAGTTTAATACCATTTTCTTCTTCAGGTCATCTGCATTGACATAAAGTGTCTCCCTTTTTTTGGTTTCTTTGTGGGCTGTCGCAATTGCAACCGTTTTCCTTGTCTGTTGGTACTGTGTACACCAGCCAGCTCACAGTATGACTTGGGAAGTATCAATGCAAAAAGCCCCACCTGTTTTTCCAGAAGTAATCAAGTATATGGCAAGCAACAGCTCTGATCCCCTCATTAATTTGTTTTTGTTTTTCTTTTTTTTTTTCTGTTGTACGGGGGAGGGGTTCTAGGAAATTGTATATCTGTATATGGGTGTGGCATCTTTCCAATCTTCCGTCAGAATTTTGATTTAGTTATCAATCCCTCTCTCTATTGCTTTCACTCTTGAATTCTTATTTTATTTCACTCGTCTTTGAATTAGACACCCTTGACCTTGACTAGTATTATAATCGTGCTTTTGTTTAGAACGCCAGCTCATCCTCCCCGCTGCTAGTAAAGCAAACGCAGTCCCACCAGCCGTTGGGCATCACAATCCGCATATCTTCTGACTGCACACCAGTCTAGCAGCTCAGCCTCAGCCTCAGCCCCGAACCCATCTCACTGCAAGCAAAGTCCATCCAATGCGTTCTGAGTAACCTTTGCAATTCGTTGCCGTTAGACAAGTGGCAACGCCATCGCCTCGTCACTCGTCTCCAGTTTTCCCGTCTTTCTTGCTTCGGCTTGCGTCTAGTCCGAATCTCAAGATGTACTATATCCTCTACCTGACCAGTATGTCTTCAATCTCACCACCATCACCATCACCATCACCATCACCTACTCCTGCCCGGGGCTATGTATGCATGCATCATTGCCAGCACAAACCAATCCCCCAACCCCAGTCAATGCACAACACCCTATCCCCAAACATACGTTCAATACAGATAAAGACAAAAAAAACCCGAGCCCCAACCCCTGCCTTCACACACTAATACACTAATTAATTCCAATAAAAAAACCAAACTAACCAAATCGAAACCTAGGCCTCTGCCGCCGTCGCAATTGGCCCGAACCAATCTACAACGCATACATAAGCAACCGCGGATACACCTGCACGGTTCGTGTCAACAACCGCGAGTACCGAGCAGACAGTATCTGCAGCAACGAGACGCTGGCCCGCGAGAGTGCCGCCATGCGTGCATACCTGATCTGCCGCAACTTTTCTGTCAACGACGGTATGTACCCTGCGGGACATGAGCACGGCGGCGCTGTGCAGGGTATGCGTGTTGCTATTGGTGCGGGACGGAAGAATGCTCGTGAGGATGATGTGCTCTCTTTGGGCTCGGCGAGTGGGAGTGGGGTTGGGAGTGAGGGTTCGCTGGGTGGGAGTTGGAGTGGGGGGAGTAGTCCTCTTAGGGTTGGGATTGAGGGGGATGGTAGGGGTGGTTTTGGAGGGAGGGGTTGATTGGGATGATTTTGATGGGGGTTACGATTTTATGATGTTATGGATGATTATGACTATGTCTTTTCTGGTATTTTTAGAGGGAAAAGTCGTGGAATTGTGAATGATTCTGGTTCTTTTCGGTTCTTGTTGGTTATGGTTATGGCTATGGTATGGTTGGATTATGATCCCTTATCTAGATGGTGGATTCTTTTTTTTATTTGCGAGTGGTGGCTAGCGATGAATTCATGTTATCAGCTTGTTCGGTTTTGATAGTTGTTGATCTTATAGCCTATAGGACAGGACTTGCTATCTTCTGGACAACTGGCGTACACGCTTAGACACTTTAAAATGTCGGAAACAATGACCAGGGCTTATTATCTGCCTTTAACTGTGATTATGTTAGCTCGCAAAACATGGGCTATTCCATAGCTAAGATAGGAACCCTGGTAGAAGAACCCCCGAAATTATATATATTTATAAACTCGGTTCTTGGTGTCATCGTGTCATCGGGAGAATATGCCAGCCATTATCTTCTCATTCCCAATAATAACAACAGCCTTAATGGCCTTACCTTACATTAGCTTAAACCTGTAGCAGCCTCTAGCCCATATTTCTTCTTATAAAGGGCACCGGGCCATAAGCCAAAACAAGATTATCCACTATCCATCTACATCAAACCCAGACGAAAGGAACCCCGAACCTAAATGTCGGATATGTATCGCCCCTCTCTAGAAGACAATCATTCATTTTGTCCAACAAATTCAGAAGGTCAGGATTGTTTTTGAGAATGTGTATTGACTCGATACATAGGTTATTGAGAGAGGGTATCAACCACACCTCCAAACGCAGTCATTGTTGCACTGGCGCTGTCTAGAGACCGGATAGTGAATACATCCTATCATGCAAGGTGGGCGGATTGCTTATACCAGCGGTGATATCTTTGATCCATGCATTGGTATTCCTGGCAGAGAATTCCATGTCACATTCTTGAACTGCACAGTCAAAGTCTCTTTTGACCTGACTCTTATCAAAAACTTCCATCCATCCGGCGTCTAGTCTTCTCATCTCATCCATGAATATACCACGTAAGAGAGTGGTCTCATGCTGCCATAGATGCTCGAAGTACAGTTCGTTTGGTTCTCCGTTGTCTTCAGGTTTGTAACTTTCAGGGATAGGCTCTGAGTGTCGTGGTCGCCCCTCTAAAAACGAAGGATAGGAGCAGGCCTTCCATAACGGGACTGCTGAAACACACTCCCAGTCTAGAACGCCAGTCAACTCCCCGCTGTCGCCAACAAGGATATTGTGTCGTGAGAGGTCGTGGTGGAATATCATTGACGGCTCTGGTTCATCAACATCATCCGTTGGAAATACTAGGGGAAGAAGGGATTTGAGCTTTTCAATTATTTGCAACGTCCTTGTAGCATCTTCCACTTCGTCTTCATCGTCGCTATTAAGGGGGTCTCCAGCTGAATGTTTATCCAGAGCCGAATGACAGTCATTTTCGTTGAATAACAGGCGGGCTGTGATCCAGTCCTTACTTGAGCGGAATGGGCCTCGGTGGACATCTTGGTGGATATGTGAGTCCCAGAAAAACTGCATAGAAACAATCCGGCCCACGTCAGGTGAAGTCCCATCAGAAGGACTTTTGTCGGGAAGATTGAAAGGGGCTTCAGAGCTCTTTCCCATAGATGTGCTACTACCATCTGAGTCGGATCCCTTCGCCAGAACTGATATTTCAGGGTCGACCGGCTCTCTAGGGCGCGGGATTTGCTCGCTCGATGTTGGATTTTCACCGACGGATGGTTTCCCATATATGTTTCCGATTCCACATAGTTGATTTCGAAAAAGGCAAGCCGAGCTTGCAGCAAGCTCCCTAACTAGACAGGCCTTCACGTCGAAGGAAAGCGACTGGTAAATTTCACCGAAGGGCTTCCCGGGCAATTTGGTCATAAGCATCCATTCAAATCCAATCGGATTGTCTCGACAAGGCTGGTGAATGATAACTCTGGGGATTGGGAGGCTTGTGATATGGCGCACCCAATCCATTGTTACCACTTCACTTGTGACTTTGTAATATGGATCGACGGGTAATGAGATTCGCATGATGAATGCTTCATCATCTATGCTGACATCGTAGATCTTGTTGAAACCACCCTGAACGAGAAAAGTCACTTCAACTGTGCTTGATGGCCGGAGCGACTGTACTGTCTGTCTGCTTGATAGCCCCAGTGTCAGGTTCAACCGTCCATCGGGGCTCTGAGGAGAATAGCCTTTCTTCCCACGCGAGACCGTGGAACTGCGATTCCTGCAATTCCAGTGACTGCATTTTTGGTATGGTGACACTGTAGTCAAGGAACCCCCACCTTTGCCGCCCTTGCGATGTGTGGCCTAGCCGCGGTGAAAACAGTATTCCCCTTTTTAGATACTGTTAGAATTTACAAGCAAGTAGATGATATGACGAAGGACCACAATATGTTGTATTGTGGGATCAATGTTGTGATGGAGGAAAGGGAGAGAACTAGTCTACAGGTATGGAAGGAGACAAACATAGATCATGTGACACGTGAGAGAGTTCAACAGATACTATGTGTACTATAGGTGTACTATAGGTACGTAGAGGTCGATATATCTATGAGGTGTATGTATCAGGTGTATGTGAGCTTCAGTTTGAGCCCCGAAACTTGGACCTTCCAACTGTAGCCCCAACACTCTCTCATTGGAATATTGACAGGCAGTAATTTTCACCCTTACTTTTAAGGTATACGGTTAAAGACTTTATAGATATATACTTTAAGGTAATTAATTCTATAGTGCTGGAAAAGTTCATCTTTATTTGAAAAGCCACAAAAAAGCGTAGTATTAGTTGACACGGCCAAGTTAAGTCGGGTTTCGGGCTTTGCGAGCTTTGCGGAACGTTATAAGGAGTTTATAAATGTATTTCTATATCAGCTCTGCTAACAATCTATATGGAGCCTCCGTTACAAAACGTAAATTACAAAAAAATGAAAGATTAATGAATCCACCGGTATACCGATGTTTTTGCGTCAACAGAGTGCCAGGGCAGGCGACCCGTCGGGTTATACCGCCACGTCTTCGCCACTGTAGTCTGGTGGCAACCTAGCTCTCGGCCTTCTTAGTAGCCTTCGTCCTCAACTTCATCATTAAGAACACCAATCCGTAAATACCAAGTACGAAAACAACAACAAGGCCGGCATTCCGCCAGCCAAAGTACTCCTCTGCTAGGTTCAGAGTCTTGAGAAAGTCTCCACCAGTGGTGTACTGGCAAACGCGGCAATCGGCATTTGCATTCGGGTTGAGGAGGTTTGTTCCTACCCCCATACCGGACTGGTAAGTGGCAAGGTATTCACCACAGGTTTGGTTGACTGGTGGGTCAAACATGGCCATTTCATCAGGAGTGCAGACGACGGGTTTGGACCATGTGGTAAAAACCAGCAGGGAGCTCATGAGATAGTTGAAAGGGTCGATATAGTACATCCTGTAGTGACTGAGATTAGAAACTGCGGATGATAATTTGAGGACCCACGAAGGCAAAAGATGCATACCAATATTTCCAAAATGGTTCAATCTGGCTATATGGCACCATAACACCACAAAACGAGACAAGGGTCGTGATGACAAGCGGGTTCACAAGCGATGCGAAGACGGCGTTAGGAGCGTAGGCGGCAATCATCTGTCCAATACCGGTGTAAAGGCACTCGTACATCACCTGGACGTTCTTCTAGTCAGTGTCTTGTTCAAATAACGAGCTCATGAATGCGGGAAAATCCTTACCACCACGAAAAAGACACTGCCAGCATTTCCAGGTGCAGTAGGCAGCCCACAAGTAAAATACCAACAAACATAATAGAGTAAGGCGCAGACGATCAGGTATGGGATCTCCGAGATGATAAGACCAGTAACGAAGGGAGCCCAGTGATACATCTTACTCTTCTTCTCGCGCGTCTCGTAGATATCGCGCCGGTCAATGAAAAGAGGCTGCAGTTGGGAGATGACTCCAGGAGCCACGAAAATGAAATTGAAGACAGTGAAGAGGTTTTTCTGTAGATCTGTCAGGCGATCCCCAATCATCCAGAATGAGAATCCATTGAGTAGTGCGAGGCTTATATGCAGGGCGAACTTGTTGTCGATATACTCGGTGTTTCGGAACAGTGAAATGTTCATGCGATGGGTTACGAGCTTGATCTGAGTCCACATTGAAGCTGCAAACTCGTGACCGTCGTCAGCGGTTCCTGACGGTCTAGCAGCCGCTTCCTTAGCCATCGCATCTAGCTCAGTTGTGAGCTGGTCATGCTCAGGAGACTCTAGCCAGATCTTGTTCCAATCGGCAGTTTCAGAGGCAACACCTGATACCACGTCAATCATATGCTCGGCAGGGTTGGCATCGGGTGGACAGGGTGCTCCATGCCGGCCAAAATAGGTCTTGACAGTACTAGCGTTATCTCCGATATCGCCAAAGTAAACTGTTTTCCCACCCTTGGCGAGTAAGAGAAGTGTATTGAATTGAGCGAAGAGCTGAGCCGACGGCTGGTGGATGGTAACCAAAACGGCTTGTCCGGCCTCGGCCAGTTTGCGTAGGAAGCGAACGATATTGAATGCAGCCTGGCCGTCGAGGCCGGAAGTTGGTTCATCTAGGAAAATAAGAATGCTAGGTTTTGCGACTAGCTCGACCGCAATAGTAAGACGTTTGCGCTGCTCAACGGACAAACCAGCACCCGGACGACCAACAAGCGTGAACTCGAGGTCCCGTAGCTCTAGGAGGTCAATGATAGTGTCCACATAGCGTAACTTCTCATCAGTAGGAGTATTGCGGGGCTGGCGTAGAAGGGCAGAGAAATCTAGGGCCTCACGGACAGTTGCCAAAGACTCGTGGACGTCTAACTGCTCGACATACCCAGCGGAGCGTTGGAAAGAGATAGGAATAGGTCGACCATCAACCAACACCGATCCGTTGATGATTCCGTCGGTCTTGCGCTGGGCAAGGACGTCGAGCAGGGTAGTTTTGCCAGCGCCAGAAGACCCCATAAGGGCACCAAGCATGCCTGGCTTCACGTACCCTTGCACATTATCAAGGAGAACTCGATCTCCCGAAGAAGTCTTGACAGTATAAGTAAGGTTCTGCCAGGTAAAAATGCTTCGGTTGTCGTTGAGTTCCTTTCCGAGGGTTTCTTGTGAGGTGTTTACTCCAGAGTCTGGCAGGGTCTTCATAGAAGCTTGCGATTCCTCATCACTGAGAAGCAGATGCTTCGACTTGTACTCCTGCTCTCGGGGGACGAGTAGGCTGCGAGCACCCTCCCCGGATAATTTCCACCGGGAGGTGAAGAAGATGGTAAGCGCAACGAATAGCACCCACCAAGCGCATATGATGCCGAAGTTCCGCCAGACATGGCTATGGCTGAACGACATAGATGCGAGATATTCACCACCCGTAAGACTAGCTGCACCAGGTGAAGCTCCGCCAACGCCAGCACATGATTGGCCACCTTCCCCATCTGTGTAACCAGGGCCGTTTGGTATGAGGTTCGGCCCAACACACGGGATGGTTGACGCATGGAACTCGTTACCAAGAAGAGCTTCAAATGCATATGCCATGGGGTTGATCCAAAAAAGCCACACAAACCATGGATGCATCTCAGGTTTGACGATCATGTAGCCCATGTAGACAAAACATGCGACAATCATCAGGCCAGAGACCTTGGTGGCGGCGTCAAAGGTGGGAAACGCGGCACCAATTAGTCGAAAGAGGGCTGTCATAGACATGGCCGTCATGAAATTGGTGATCCAGTAGGTGAAGAAGGCTTCTGCAGTGCGGTTCAAGCCAACCATGAAATAGAGAACGAGGCCGAAGTGTGACACTTGAAACAGTAGGACGGGAAAGTCTGCGACGATCTGGGAAATGCAGATGGCGGCGGGATGATACAGAGCAAATGAACGATGCTTGGCTAGAATAGGTCTCCCAGTAAATGAGTCGGTGACTTCCGAGAGAGCGATGAGGGCGTTATATAGGATGGAGAAGAACAGAGCACCACACTTGAGGAACAGACCAGCGGAGTTGTCGGGGGCATTGTAGAAAAGTGATCCTCCCAACAGAGCCTGAATGACTGTAGCGCCTTGCTTCATGATCAGGGTTGCCTTATCACCCCACATGATTTGGTATTGCCGGGTGACTGAGGCTTTAATCTGAGAAAGGAAGTCGGTGGTCACTGGTGAGTTCTCGCGTACTCCCCGATGCTTTTCCCGCGCCACCATCTCCTTGAAAATGGTCGTGTTCTCCGCCGCCTCTTTGCTTTCTGGATAGGAGCATTCCGCCAGCATTCGGGAACTGAAACCGGACGATTCGTAGGCAGCGCGAATAGCGTCAGAAGTCCTAGGAAATTTGGTTTCATATCCTGGTGCAACAATACGCTCTGTTGGAACAGTCACGCCAGTTAGGAAATCAGCTCTGTTAGCACCAGAGGCGCGTCTGAACCCAAGGTTTTCCATAAAAGGCACTGCATCCTGTTGTGGACCATAGAAGATCTGCTTGCCCTCATCAAGGACGAGCACCTTATCAAAATGCTCGTAGATTCCATTACCTGCCTGATAGAGGGTAACGATAGTAGTGATGCCAAGGACGTCAGTCATCGTTCTGATTGCCTTAATCCACTCCAGTGCTGTACTAGCATCGAGACCACGCGTAGAGTTGTCCCAACAGAAAACGCTTGCTCGGGTTGTCAAGCACTCAAGGATGGAAACACGTTTTCTCTCTCCTCCTGAAACGCCTCGAGTAAAGGCGTCTCCCACCTTAGTAGATTCAGCGTGTGAGATACCCACCGACCGCAGCAGAAATTCTTTATTGAGTTGCGCGTACTCCTCTGCCGACTTTATTCCTGGCGGTAAGTGGTACGGGACCTTCATACGGGCGGCGAAGTCGATGGTCTCACCGACGGTCAATGTCGGGAAAAAGATTTCCTCTTCCGTGTTCATGATGATCTGACTGCGGTGTTGCATGGCATTTTCGGCAGACATACTCCCAAACGCAACGTCGCCGCTCACCTCTGCATAGCCACGACGATTGTTTGAGAGCATGCTGAGCAGTGTTGTGCACCCTGATCCGGGGCGGCCAAGGACGAGCAGCATCTCCCCAGGCTTAACACAGCCATAGGAGTTGTCGAGGATTGTTTTCATGGGAAATTTTCCACCGCGATTTCCGAAGAGGTTGAATTGTGAAAGGACATTTTCGTTGAATGTAGCATCACTGCTGATACCTCTGACAGTGAGATTTTTCCAGGTGACTCCAAGTTTCCTGGCTTTCTCGCCATTTTGCTCGTCTCGTTCTTTCAAGCGTTGCAGTTCTTCGGCCATGTGCCACGTTGCTTTGGACTTTGGGGACACGTCTTGTGTCGAAACATGCACGACACCGATATCTGGCGTTTCATCTGGCGATTTCTCTAGGTTGGAGAAATCCTTCGAATCGCTGCCGGTGCTTGACGTGGAGAGCGCCATTGTGAGACTTTTGCTGTTCTCGTCAGTATAGTAGTAGGAAGGGCACAGGATGATATATACGTACTCAGCCACCCAGTTCAGCAGTTATATGAAGGAAGAAACCAACAAGCAAATTGCAACACGATGAAAAAAACTAATAGGTTACATGAGGCTATGGCGAAAGCTGTTCATATAGCTGGGCTTCTATCTAGTTCATGCAGGTACGAATCTGAGTTTTGAGTTGATCCATTGTAATCACTCCGTCTATAAAGTGATATTATTACTTGACCTCGAGTTAGTTTTATGGGGCTAAGTAACTGCATATCCTAGAATGATGAATAAACGGTTTCATCGGAATGAAGATCCATGTGGATTTTCCATACGAGCTGGCAATTATGCCACTCCAGTACCTCCAGTCTTGGAACTACACAGTTGTCTATAACCTGTAGGTATCAAGTCTACCGAAGACCTGTTTATTCATTAAAATAATTTCCATACTCTATATGGGGCGGACATGCGAGGGGCGTATTTTTGATTACTCAACATAACTACATTACAGCACGTCCCGAGACGAGGCTCGGGTTGATGAATAAACAAAGTTGATAGGTTTAGTTAACTACTTTTATCAACGAACACTAGATCCACTTAGTATCATCGGCCACAGGCTAGGACATACCCAAAAAAATCATGGAAGAAAAACACGAGGCAAACGAGGTGGGGAAGAATGGGCGTCCTCGGAAGCTCAATAGCCAACAAGCGATAGAAGTGGGTGTAATGTTGAAAAAGATGTCAAAAGATTTCCAAAAAGTATGCGATGACTGATTCCCGTTAGAGACGCCGTTCACAGCTACGTATGGCGCAGCGAGCGTATCGCATGCGAAAAGAAAACACCACTTGCAACCTGCAGGATCGTGTTCACGAGCTTGAGGATGGCATTGAGAAGCTCAGCCAGTCATTTCTCGGGTTCACTGATCTCCTTTTAGAAACTGGTCTGCTTGAAAAGCAGTCGCACATCACGTTAGCCCTCCGCAAAATAACACAGCAATACCTTGCGCTGGCTGAGACTGGATATGCGGGCCCTCATGAAGGGGAAGCTGTTGGTGCCACTTCATCCACTGCCTTCGACAAGGACGAAACACTTAGTAGCCCAAGGGTGCCGTCGAATGAAAGAGCTCCTATTGGACCCTCATCGACACCGATGGGATGTTCTGAGCTGCCGTCCTTATACCCACAACCACCCCTTTATCAGTGTGAACTGACACCCCCAATCAATGCTTTCATGGCTTCGCGCGCTAATGAGTCGCCCCTTCCGCTATCATCATTACCGGGTCACCCCCCAGACATTTCTCTGGCTAGCTCGATCAAAGACCAACAGTGGACTTTCTCACAGTATCTAGTAAAGGCATGCTGTCAGAATGGGTATCAGCTTCTTGTCGACACCCCGAACGACTTCGTCAAGATTCAAGATGTTTTTGGGACATATTTACCTCCAACCGAGCGCAAGAACTTTATTTCCTGTTTTCATGCTGGAATGCATGACAACACTGGAAACCTTATTGATCTCATGGCCACTGCACTTGCCCCATCGCGTCCCGAGGGGGAATGTTATGCCTCGGAAGGTCTTGCGACCCCAACTGAGGGACTGGGATCCATCTTCGCATCCTCGGCCGGCGAATGGTTAGATGCTAGTGGTGTACAGGGGTTCATCAGCGCGAAGGGATTCTGCACCCAGGAGAATGGTCGCTCATTATCTCGCTCATTTATTTCGTCGCTTCACGTTGCTGCGCTTATTCAATGTGGGTATCTGACGAGGTATAAATTAGCTCCAAAAAACTAATGAATATAGACCTCGCCAATGAGTGTATCTGCTTCGGACATGGTCCTGCTTTTCGACGTCAAACTGTGGAGGCTGCATTGCGCCTGGCAAGAACAATATGAAGCTTCTTGCACCCTTTGCGTAATTTTCAGAACTTGCTTTTCAAAGGACGGGCTGTATAAATAAATGTAGTATATGTTGTTGACAATGAAGTCTATCGCCAGACTCGAGACTGATATTCGCCTGAAGCTGCTTCTTGTTGATCTTCCAGTACGGAGATTCTAGATTTCATCTCTTTACAACCTAAATAAGCATACTGACCATTTTGAAAAGATTCAGTCTGTGTTGCCGCCGCAGATCCAGGTGGCCCAAGATGCGCTGATTCAAGCTGGTCTTGTCGGCGTTTATGAGTCATCTGGGACTCTGCAGGAAGCTGTGTAACCTCTGGTCAGGCCGACACAGCAAATCCTGCTAGATTTGTGAGATCCTTCATACTGATTGCTTCTCGTACTGTACTCATTGAACATTGATTAGGTTTCCGTTGGACCAGGAGCTATGGCTACTACCGCGACCCTAGGTAATTTCCGTTGCCTCCTCCTTTGCCATCTTCAGGTATAGAGCTAACAGAAGCTTTAGGTCCTAGAACTACAACCACTGCGACACAGCCAACCAGAAGCAAGGCTGTTTTCGCACACTACATGGTATGTTGCATTTACTTACTTTACTAGATATTTTCTAACTTCTAGTAGGTCGGTTCAATGACTGCAGACGAGGCTGTCACCGATGTCAATCTTGCTATGGGTGCTGGCTTTGATGGCTTCGCCCTGAACACTCACACTATCAGCCCTTCTGATACTTGGAACACCAATGCACTCGATTACTTATTTGATGCAGCCTCTGTAACCAGCTTCAAACTTTTTATTTCGTTCGACATGAGCTGGGGTCTTGAAGTTACCCAGCTGGCATCTTTCTTAGCCCCATATGCGACCCACAGCGCATATTACAAGGTTGACGGCAAGGCATTCGTGAGCACATATACCGGTGGCACCATTTCGAATGATCAATGGGACACAGGCTTCATTCAGCCACTCACATCAGCTTACAGCATCACGCCGTATTTTGTTCCTAACTTTGACGACTTCTCCGGATATCCAAATGGAGTTTTCAGAGCATACCCAATTCTGGATGGGGTCTACAGTTGGGAGTCCGCATGGCCCTCTCCTGGTAACACCCCAGCCAATGTCAGCGATAGTGTGGACTCGGCAGCTTTTCAGGAAGCGCATTCCGCTGGTAAAACCTACATGATGCGTAAGATTCCCCAATCAATATTGAAACTTTGATTACTAAACACACCTCTTTCACAGCCATGTCCCCTTATCAGTTCAAATATATTGGTAGCGGGCAGAACTGGTATCGTGTTGGCGAGGTGAATCTACCCCAGCGCATGGCTCAAGCCCTGCAGCTACAGCCTGACTTTTTGGAGGTTATCACATGGAATGACGCTGGCGAGAGCCACAATGTTGGTACATTTTGGGAAGAGCAGATTGCAGGAAGCAACATTGGGGACTACGCAAACGGATTTGACCACACGGGCTGGCTACAAATCATCACTCCGTTTATCAAGGCATACAAAGCCGGTGCAACAAGCCTCTCGCAGATAGAACCCCCTGGTACCAAGCCAGTCGGTGCGCTTTGGTATCGCACGCTTTTGACGAGTGCCAGCTGTTCATCTTCGATTGCGAACTATCAGTCTGCACAGGATGCCGTCAACTTCGCTGTTATCCTTCCTTCAACAGGATATACCATCAATGTTTATAGCAACATCAAGCTTATTGGCAGCTTTGCGGGCGTTAAAGGCCTGAACTATAACAGTGTTTTGGGACTTGCTGTTGGCGGTGGGCAGATGATTCAGGTTGTGGATGCGTCGAATGAAGTTATTTCTTCGGCCACTGGCACTAAGAATGTTCTGGCCCAGAGTCCTAATTCTACATGCAACTGGAACTATGAAGTTGTGGGCCTGTCTTGAAGAGGATATGCTGAAGGGTGGTGGAATTTTATCCAATCATCGGTTGTTTCTAGTTTGATAGTGCATATTATCGTAACCTGCGAGCCTCGGCCACCCCGTGCCAGGTCGGACTGTGGTAGAAGAATGGTTTCCAGGCTTATTGTAGATCATTGCTAGCATATAGGTTCTTCTAGAGTACAACGCGAAAAGCTTCTAGAACAACCAAGCAATTACTCCACCCACTCGCAATCGTATGCACGAGTATACTCATCCGGGTCCCAAGCAAGAGGTCTCGTGTCCATCTCTTCAAACTTTAGCTTTACACATTCATCTATATACTCCTTTTCTTCGAGTGTCAAGAGATTAAGCCTCTCCTTCCAAGCATTGTCAGGGACAAGGGTTTGAGTCGGGCCAAAGAATCGCTGGTCAATTTTCTGCCAATAGATCAAGTCGAAAGCAAAATTATTCCGTGCGGCATACATGACCCAGAAGTTGCCGCTCTTCCAACTGTCTCGCATTGGGCCAGAGAGACGCTGAGTCTGGATAAGTTGACCGGCGCGGATTGCCTCATCCTCGCAATCGTTCATGGCTTGAAGAAATGTTTCAAGTCGCTTATCATATTGTATGCACCAGTCGTCGAGGCCTTTAGACCAATATTCCGGCTTTTCGAGAAGAAGCCACCAAGGTGGTGCATGAGAAAATTCGACAGGGGCGGTGTATGTAAACTCCCAGTCCACCACTCCGATAATGTTCTCAGCTTCATCGACGAGAACATTCTCTGGTCGGAAGTCATCGCACCAGATTGGAAATGGGCCAGTCTCATGGCGCAACCATTTCTCTCTCAATTCCTGGTCTCGGATGAGTCTTCGGAAGAGAAGTCGCGCCACGAATTTTCGCCGGCAGTCATCCTCCGAGTCAATAGCATCGTTCCTTTGACTTATCAGGTGTGAAAGTTGCAGTTCCGCCAGTGCGTCAAAGTAGGACGATGCTTCAGAGTACGCGCTATTCGGTATTTTCGATCGAGGTACTGTTCTTAGTTGCACAACTTCATTCATGGAATATGATAAGGGCCGACCCAATACCTTCCACGTCATATCTTTCGGGTCAAGTCCCATAGATCCTATCTTGCTGAGCGTAAGAATAGACAGCGAAAGAATGATTTTGGCCAATTTTCTGTAGAGGTCTCCCAGCCTGCCCATGTTGAGGTTGAGATTCAGGACTGGACGGACGGTTGGATCTGATTCCGGATTCTCAAGAAGCCTGCAGATACTCTGTTTGTGCTCGACATATTCCATGATCATAAAAGGACCTAGGTTCGCGGGACTCTCTTTCTTCTGTCCCCAGCGAGAGATTGAAGGCACCGGAATCGAAATATTGTGTGATTTTTGGGTTTGTTCCAAAATGAACTGCATGACCCTGACTTCGTTGTGGACTTTCTCCTCAGGAAACATCACAATACCAGGGAATGGGAACCTGATAATAGTGGTGGTGTTATCGGTAAATATCATCCGAAAGCAGACATTGAATCCACCCAACGCGAAGATATCAAAGTCGCACCATTCCCGAGGATAAAAATGGGTTGCAAGAAAGCGACCAACTGCATTAAAGGGGTCATCATCTTCCTGGAGATACTTATACCAGCGTTTGTAGATAATCGTCCCTCTTTCCCAGGCTTGATTGTCGTAAGCAAGACGTGGCTTCATTGTGGTATAGAATCATCAGGACGAATGACAGATTTTCAGGTGGAGAAACAAACTTGATTCAAAACCCTTTGAATGGATTGAAACATTCATGGGGACTGGATGGTGTGTAAGGGGGAATACGGGATATAGGCCTAATAGTTCAAGAAGCTTGATTACTGAGCCGGTAAAAGCAAATAAAGCACCTCCTCCACAAAGAAGCACTTCGCCGGCTTTACAACCACATACACGGGCCCCACCAAAGTGTAGTGGTTGTGGAGAAATAGGACATAAAATCAATAGGTGTCTAGCTAGATAGATGATTTTAGTATATTTAATTCAATGGCGTTCTGGTTGAGATATTTATATTTGTAAATAGTAGGTTGGGATGGTAGTGAAATCAAGAAGCAGGTGGCCACTTCGATTATGTAATACTTAGGGGCCCAGTTGTACGTTGTACTTAAAGCGGCAAGATCTCAGCACTAATACGGAAAGAGAACGCCAAGAAGTGAGGGAACCCATGGATCAAGTATGTATCTCGAGGAAACCACTAAACCGGCATCAGAGGCGAAAACTAGAACGTTAAATCGACAAACTCGCCCAATCCTGTCGTGTGCCAGTTTATTCACAAACTTGCTTTCTATACATACTTCGTCATTGAAACCAAGGATTTGCTTTTGTATAAAGACTAGAATTGCCTCTCTAAACCCGAACCTTTTCATTCCCTTTGAAGCCACCTGTACAACACTGCTATTACTCTCACCATTCTCACGCGAAGAGCTTCCAGATCTAATATAAACAATAATGACCTCGATTATCACCTCCATCAAGGACCTTATTACCTCCGTATTTGAGGTGATATTCTCTGTGGTTAAGAACACGCTAGGTTCGGGGTATCAGTTACTCCTGGCTTTCGTCGACTTCTTCGCCGGTATTCCAAAGATGTTAGAGCATATAGTGAAGGGCAGTTCGGAAGCTGTAGGCGGAGTCAGGACATTCATTACCAGTGAGTTTCTTATGTCTGACGATTCGGGGAAAGACCAAGCTAATGATTCGTGTAAAAAGGTAACATCGTCATTATAGCTATGATCGCTCTCGGCAGTTATGGCTACCTGGTATATCTACGCCGTGAAGGTCGCCCGGTGCAAGATGGGACCAAGAAGTTGAATTAGGGAATAATAGCCATTTGATACTTTAATGAGAAATTTGGGTTTGAATTGAAGAATGCTACGTCTTGAGGAGTCTTCAGCGAAAAAAAAGCTCGACGTGTTGTGTGATATTTCAATGTCGTGTTCTCCTCATTAATCTTGGAACCAGTTCCTTTTTCTTCGCCTAGTACTAGTACCCGAGAATGAGTCGCCTTCAGCGCGGACTGCTTGCTTAGGCAGTTTGGCGGACTTCTTTCAAGGTCCTTGGTGAACTCTAAGGTGGAAGGAATGGATATCATGTCGTTCTGATAGAGGTAGAATGAGGTACCCTTGAGCCAAAAAGGTATGTTCTTAAGAATTGTTGAAATTATGATCGTCTATACCCCTCTGGGCTAGAAGTTGACTCCAGTCAATATTATTGAACACGAACGTAAAGCTAGTCCCCACCCTCAGGGACCCCCGGGTCCCAAATATGATGGACCCTTGCATTATTTTTTGAACGCCGGGCTGGCTATAAATCAGGTCGTCTTTTCGTTTCCCACTCAGTTTATTCAAATTTATGTTGTGCTGCACGTGGCTGAGCTGTCTAATCAGCTCTCTTCTTGCCGCGCATAATCTTGCGTCTTTGGGCAATCATATGCGTGTACAGGACATAAGATCCTGGTAGGTAGTCAGTAACCGGTACTATGAACACTGTAAAAGAACAACGTACCAGGCACATAGATTACGAGAATCGCAATCAAAAGGTAACGGAAAAGCGGGCTCAGCTCGCCCGCAGGACCAAGGGCCTGGAAGATAAGCGTGCACTCGCTCGAGATACCAATTGGGTAGAAAATGTAGAAAGTGTTGTATCTAGTCAATGCGAAACTCATCAGCGCATTGAACATGGTAGCCACGCAGGGGGAGAAAAGGAAAAACAAGACTTACCGCAACCAAGTCCACCAGCTCGGGACCGAGTTCCCAGACAAAGTAATAGCGAAGAAACCGTAACGGATAACCTCCGTAATTCCCCAAGCAAAAACACACCCCAGATACGCATAATCACCCAACTGGGTATCCCGCCCAGCACCAACAATCTCCCCACCAAATTGCGCCATAATCCCCCATACCAACAGGAGCCGGCTAGAAACCTGCATGGCAGTCGTCACGAACGGCGCGCGCACGAGGCCTACCACGCTGTGCACGACTTCCAGCAGGGCGAGGGACTGCGTGACCAGCAGTAGCGGGGAGAAAGTCTGGCCGAAGACCTTGGGGAGAGTTTTGGTCGAGACATGGGCTGGGAGGAGGGAGGCCGTGTAGACGACACAGGTGCCCCAGGCGAGGAGATTGAGAGTGTTGTAGGTGAAGAGGTAGGCTTTTGTTAGACCCGAAGAGCCGGAGCGCGGGGCGCTTGATGCTTTGGTTGAGGCCATTCTTGACCGGAATTGTTTCTCGTCGGTCTCGTGAGGTATTTTGGTGATGATGTTGCCCTGGATGGAGGAACTGGAAACGTTGATTTGGTTGGGAAGCTTGCGATCAACAAAAAAACGGACCGAGGTCACGGTCCATTACGTAAGCATTCTGGAAGAGCCCTGGAGCCAGCGAAGAAGCTGTGGAGAAAAAGCATGTTTGGGATCTGGGGTATATATGGCACATCTTTGTTTTGTTGTCTGTTGGGTTTCTATGCATAATTTTATTGAGGTTATAATAGGTATCACTATAACTTTGATATTCCTAGCGATCGGGAGCTACATGCTACTTAGGCTATTAACTAGCTAATCACCCTTTCAAGAAATCGGCCATGCAGTCTCTTTGTTCTTTAGCCCGAATATAACCCATAACCGGGTTGTCGGACTCGGATATATCTCCTCTACAAGTCTAAGGTCTAGGCTAAGTGAAATTTTTAGAAGCTCTCTGTTGAGGAATAGTCGATGTGATTCGCCGAAGGCAATCGAGCGCAGAGACTGACAGCCAAGCGGATGGCTTCCTATATAGGCGCCCTTGGCTACCAGGGATACAAAGACTAGCCGGCCCCGCGGTGTAAAACTGCATGTTCTAGTCCGAACTACTGCAACAGGCTACCTGCCATCTCGTATTGCCGGCAGCAAACATGCGTAGTCTGCGCTATTTTGGACTTGACTTGTTTGGGTGGCATGTCCGAGGCTAGATGAGCATATGGGGAGATATCGGAGGGATTGTTGTTTGATGCTTTCGGATTTGTGATAGCGGTTAATTCACATGTTTCTCGGTGAACTTAGCGAGAAAATCATCCTGCGTCAGCCAGAAGTACTTGAATTTATAGTCCAATTGATTCCCCGGTGTAACCAGAGATTGATACATATTAATTACCGAACGCGACGAACTCAAATGAAATTTGCATGTTTCGCATTTGGACTCGTACTACAGCAGCTATTCTCATCTCTGTTGTATGTTGTACGCAACCCGGCAGCGGTTGATGGGTGTATGCATTCTGACATCATGGGCGAGGCTATGATGTCGCCCTGCATATGCCTTAAGCCTGTTAAGGACGTAAAACGAGACCTGTCAGCACTTGGGTCGGAAGTATAGAATTTTCTAAGCTCCGCAGACATGGGGAGAGAGTCCTTGCACAATGGAATTCTTTAGGGTACACAAAGTCGAAAGAATACCGCATGTATGTAATTTGAAGTAATTTGAAGTAATTTAAAAGTAATTTGAAGTAATTGACGTAATTTGCCGACACGCTAAAATGACATCAGCGGCTGGTGTGGGCTACACTACCGCCCCATCTCATGATGTCATGGCAAACTATCACCAATTCTAATTGGTGGGTGATGGTGGAGAATGTGTTAGAGCCAACCACTTGGCGTAAAAACCAGGGGCAAGGAGATGCACACATGCCCCCATTCCTCTATATAAACAAAGATGGCTGCGGTTCGCGAATGTGGACATATTCCACTTCAATTGACATCTAGCTAGCCTCTATGTCTGTCCTTTCATACGGAACTCAAACCGCGAAAGTTATCCTGAAAAAAAAGCAACAACGAAAAAGAAAAAAAGGAAACCGCCAAAACACCCATCGTCATCGGTGACAGCATATTCCCTCGTGTTTTATAGCCCAGCAATATTACCCCCCTTTCGTCCCCTCCGAGAAAGGAAAAAAAAGACCGTGGAGCCCTAGACTTCTACATTGGTCGTTCAACTTGCTGTCACCGAGTACGTCAGATGAGAAATGCATGCAACATACAATCAGAACGAGTCCCGGGTTAATTGAACACGGTCCTTGAGGGTCCAGACCAACTGGATCAGGTTCTATCTGCGCACTTGGCCCAAGTCAATCGTGCTTCCCTGCTGTACGAGCCAGGATTATTACGTCTTATCCTCTCGGTCTTTTTATTTTTTTTTTCTCTCTCTGCGGCTAAAAGTCTCCTCGGAAACTAGGTACTTTTTTCTGTTTTTGCTGTATTTCTGTTTTCAAGCAGTACTGACCAAGTCATGAAAAGTTGTCCTGATCCTGTTACAATCAAAGAATGGCCTTCCAGGCACCAAAAAAGGCCATCGCTAATTTGCAGTTCCCCAAAATGGTTCCGCGTGTGACCGTCCAAACCTTTGGGAAAGGACCAAATGACGTTCCCTTGTTGGGATCGGCGGTCCGATGATGTCGTCCTGCTGGCCCCCCTACTCCGTACTGCCATATGAGTATAGGAGCAGTCTTTTTTGCGGTCAGAAAACGTGTTGTTTTTTGGGGGTTTTTTTCACCCTATCAGTCTCCACACTAAACCTGTACTAACCATTCAGTACATTTCCAGGTCGCAGAGGGGTCTCTTCCGTTCATTCCGTGCATTTTTCTTCTCGGTGGACCCATCAGTTGGAGAACTGATGCCACGGTTGTACTCCACTGGAGCACAGAGGAATTTGATCCCGAGATAACAGTTCTCTTGATCGTGGCTCAAAAAAAAATCCCCCAGAGGATCATTTACTATCTAACTAAAAAAAGCAAGAAAATCTCCTTATGGAGCACAAGATTGTACTAATTGTGTCGCATGTCCAGAATTTCACTTTGGGAACTTAGCGTGAAAAAGAACCAAATCCACGTTTTCAGGAAAGCGAGTCCAATTAGAAATGATTGTATAGAGTGTGGCTAATAATATAAACTAACTTGTTTCGAGTGCAAATATGTTTCTCCCCGAGTTATTCAAAGTGCCAAGGGCAATGATAGGAATGTAAAATATAATATGTAATATACCAATATTACTTAGTTATACTATTCGAGAGACATACAATATTCAGAGTGAATCTGAAATGAATATTGATTAATTTATATTTCTCTATTTTCTATCATTTTTTATCATTTTTTTTCTATTATTTTCGCTCCAAATCACACCCAAATATCACCCAAATTCCATCTTCTTAGTTGGTTCCTTACGGATTGGAATTGACCTACCCACCTTGTCTTTCTCCGCCCCTCCGATTTCCTCTCTCTCCTCCCCCTCCTCTCTTCTTTGACCTCCTTTCTCTAATTCCGGTCTTCTTTGCTTCTTTGCTTCTTTCGACCTTTTTCTTTTTCTCCTTGGGGTTTATTGTGTCCTATTTATCCTCTTTTTTTTTTCGAGACTGGATCATCTCTAAAAGAGAGAAGGAAAAAAAATTTATTATAGGTGGGATGGACTTTCCTATTTGCCCCTCTCTCTTTTGAATATCTTCCCTTTTCCCTGTGTCTTCAATTCTCTGTTAAGTGGAGACCCTGGGTTGTGGGCTGCAGCTCATGCGATGCGCTAGTTCTGGCTTACAAGGCTGTGACTGGGTCACTGTTCGAGTATATGCGCTGAATGGCCCTGTTTGCTCCCTCTAATACCACCTCCACACCTGGTTCCTTTAATTATTTTCCCCCTCCACCTGCTTGCTGTGTACACTGCCCCTCTATCCCCCTCGATTCCCGTTGTCTTGGGTTTTCCCTCTCACTACCCACTGGTCACTACCTTGCTCAATCTGGTGGCTGTATTTCGCCCCGGCTCCAGCCTCTTCCCCTTGAGCATAGACTCCGGAGCCGCTCACTATTTCCCCCGTTAACAGCCTCGACCCTTGCTATCTTCGGTCCCTGGATCCGTAACACCTGCTGGCTTTGTAAGACGACATATGCGTTGTGTGCAGATCTTATGATTCTGACGTCCTTGTTGTATCATCATTGATCGTTGCATCCGGGTCCTCTTTATTGATTTGCCACATTGTTTTATCCAAGATCTGGATCTATTGTATGAATATGAGCTGACTGAGATTTGCAAACAGAGCCTCGTATTTCATCTGGATTGGCTGGACATCAGACCGCAGAAATCAGCCCTATTTCCATCCAGCGATCGTGACGATCAGCGCATTGCACTAGGTTGCTCCCACCTACCCCTTTTAAGCAACCTCTCAACACGCATACACACACATACACAACCATGGCACCAGCCGATACCAAAAAGGCCGAGCCGGTAAGTACTTCTTGCCCCATGGTCGAAGGTTCCTCGGCCTGACATTCGAGTCTAGGCCCAGCAGGGCCCACCCAAGCTCTCTGATTATAAGGAAATTCTCGACGAGAGCACGTTCGAACAGATCCTTGAGATGGACGACGATGAGGAGGATCGCGACTTCAGCAAGAGCATTGTGTACGGTTTCTTTGACCAGGCTGAGAACACCTACAAGAAGATTCAGAAGGAAATGTGAGTGTCTTACTTCGTGCAGGTGGAATTCCCGGTGATTGTTCTTTACTAATTATCACGCAACAGAGATGACAAGAACCTCGATGAACTCTCCGCCCTCGGTCACTTCCTCAAGGGCTCATCGGCCACTCTGGGCCTCATTAAGGTTAAGGACGGCTGCGAGAAGATCCAGAACTTCGGCGCCCACAAGGACGAGACAGGTCTCATTGACCAACCGGACACGGAGTTCTGTCTCAAGGCCATCAAAAAGACTCTAGATGAAGTCAAGGTCGAATATCGCAAGGTCGAGAAGCTCCTCCGCCGATACTACGGCGAGGAAGTGAAGGATGAAGAAGAGAAGCCAGAAGAGGAGGCCAAGGAGCAGGTGAAGGAAGAAAAGCCCAAGGAAGAGCCCAAGCAGGAGGCAAAGGAGGTCAAGGAGACCAAGGAGTCTAAGGAATCCAAGGAGCCTACCAAGGAAGCCTCGAACTAAGCGGTCATGCGGGCTGGTTGATATTCCCTCCCCTTTTTCTTTTTAGCGACGGATGGAGCATGGCAAATGGCTTTTTCTTATTCATTTCCCCCTTTGCCCTTTTTCATATCCTTTCTGTTACCTCCCACCCCTTCTGATTCTGGCTTATCTGGCTTTCTTGACACGTACATAACAACCTTCCCCACCATATCTCCCCTTCCCGTCTGGACACTGGTGTGGAAACGGATATTCCTGGTCTGTCACGTAGGTGCAGGCGCGAGAATCGTGACGATTCCGAGGAGTCTTGAACAATAGCGACATACGGAAATCCGGGTACCTCTATCAGGCCCTGTTTTCTTGCTTTAAACCTGCGTTTTTCGTTTCGTGGATCGACGTATAGTAGGCGTTCCGTCAATATTGAGGTACGTGTAACGCATGAGGTAGCCTATGATATGTCTGGACGTCAAAAGTATAGCCCAAGTATTCAAAAGTCCCAGAATATTAGATCTAAGCATGCTTAAGTATTTCCAGCCATAGCCTCGGAGCTATCGGGGAGAACTTCCCCTGATACTCAGGAACCCCTAAGCATCTAAGCCGAGAAGTGGCGCTCTAAAAAGCTTTTTACCTTCAGCCACTTGCGTGGGCCTCTGGGGTACCCGGATAAGCTTGACTCAACCTTAGAACTCTATCCCAATGAGGGATGGTCGACCCAATTTATGGATTCACTTCTATTGCCGCTTGACAGATTGCTTGTATTGATCTGCTAGATCTGTCGTTACATTCAACGGAGGATAAGTCTGTTCGGTCTTACTCTTATCTCTGTCGTGTGTGTGTGTGTGTTCTCGACTTGGTGGTCTATCTGTCATCAAAAGCTCGGACATCATCTGGTTAGTAAGGTATTTATTAACTAACTGGCGAAATTCCATCTAATCCAAAATTGTTGTGTGTGTGTGTCCGTGCTTCACATGTCTCGATTCCGGGATGCTGCACTTTACGAGGATAGTTTGCTCAGTACAACAGATCGCATCCTCCACTATCTACTCCAACTGCCAGCAAATTCTGCCGTATCTGCGCCTGCATCCGCTCTCCCATGGTCAATAGCGAATGGTAAACGAGTACCGGGGACCTGCAGTGTGGAGATGGTGCGACGCCGGCGACATTCAACGGTATGCTCACATATTGGCTGAAGCTGAAATCCAGCCAATTCGAGGAGCTAGAGTTCGTTGAGCGAGTGGTGCGCTTTGGATCCTACCAAGCGTTTTTAGAGAACAGTCTCTAAAGAACAATCATCATCCATCACAAGTCAAGATTCAGCATGGCAGATGCGACTCCTCCTACCTCCTTGCTCTGGCCGTCCAACCACAGCTCAATCTCTCAACAGTCCGTGCTAGTGCGCAATGCGCCAGCGGGATTATGCAGTGTTATTGACATCGTGATGCGCAGATGATCCACCTTGACTAGCCCTCGTCTTGTACACAATGTGATATCCGTTCTTTAATCGCAGCGCCAACGAGGACACGTTCCGTTGAGCCGGAGATGGGACGGTAGGTTCTCCTGTTAAGTATTACGTGTCGCTCTCCTCTTTATGATATATCTATTTGCTCTGGTCGCCATTTGGCAGTTGCGAAATTAGGATCTGACATGTATAGCATGCGAAGTTTCATACCTATAGAGTTATCAAGGGACTCTGTTGCTCGAATGGCGCTCAAAAGGATACATCGAAATCTAGAGCTCAATCCGTCGTACTTGTTGCCACGTTGCTAGTCCCATCCAACCAGCCATCGCCCCATTGCATATGCATCCATCACAAACGAGAAAATTGAAATCGAGTCAAGCCATCGTCCACCGGATCCCTTTCCCCGCAACGGGACGCAAGTACGCGCCCACTATCGAAAATCCAAAAGCTGGCGTAGATGCAAGCAACAACACCGATTTGGGTTCCGGTCTGTCCAGTTTCTGCTTAATTGCATCCTGGCCTGGACTCCGGCCGGGCAAGTCACACAACATAGCCAACGAGCGTTGTTTTTTCTGCAGGGTGCCCGCAAGCCGACGGGTAGGCACAGGTGCCTTATTTGGCTTTATTCCCCGCTAGCAAGGGTGGCTGAATGTTTCGCTTGCTGCTGGGTTGGGTTTCAGTGGGCCTCGATGCCGAGTTCGGGATGCACGACGTGATTCTCTGAGCTCTCTCTCCACATAGTGGATGTCCTCGGTTGGCAATGTGGCTTTACAGATTTGGTTCTTATAAGCTAGAGTCGTGTCAATTCCTTCACCACGGATACATACAGGTACGTGGCAACAAGGTTAGATACTAGTTTTTCCTGACGAACGCCTGTTGCCTTTGGACGGGGATCTTGATGTGGATCTGGAAGTGTCTATTTCGGTCTATATACAATAAACAAACTGGCCTCGAAAATACACCTCTTTCTCATGCATGCAAGCATACATATATCTCCTACCCGTCTGTCTCGGATAGCAGACCTGCGCTCAGCACGTCTCCCTCGATATATTAGAACGCACTTAGCCAGCCATCTTCGCGCACAGTCCTCGACCCTGGGTGCTGGGTCTACCATGACTCTGTTTGCAATTGTCTCTCTTTATTCGACTTGTCACCCTGGCCTGCAATACGCCTTTCTTTTTCCGAGGGGCGAGCGAGAGGTAGGGAACAAGAATAGGAGGTTCTGTACTACCTGCCTCTCCTTTTATTCCTCCTCCCCTTTCTAGCCTCTAATGTAAACTTATACTCGCTTTCGTTTGCCATATCGGACCTTCATGTCCCCGGCCTACTTTCCACCGAGAAAGACTGTATCACAACGCCGTAGCCCTATTCCTTGGATTCTACCAACCCCCCAACGGTTTACGTACCCTGTACGCGCTAAACCAATAAAAGCGAATATATGAAGCCTAGATCTCAGTTTGACGTCGCCCGGGGTTGTATTAACGGGTGTGCAGTGATCACCCACACACACATTGTACATGTACCACCCGACTCCACGCATCCTGCAAGAAGTACATTAACGTCTAATCCCGGAAAGAAAACCATAAGCGCCAGGACAGACAAAAAAGTACCCCGGAAGATCCCACCTCGACTGCAACACTAGACTTGTGCTCTCCATCTTTTATCTTTCCCTTTGTTGGTCTATGCATGCACGCCAAAAGAAAGAATAATAATATTGATTTGTAGGAGGTAAGAGGTATTGTCTTAGCCTCGAAGCATATCCCTTAGATCCCTGTCTTCTGCTCTGGATCCTTGTGCTTGTGTTATATCTCGATCTGATTGCGGGTTTGCCCTTTGCCCCAGTTTCCCCATTTCCCCGCTTGGTCTGATTGCGTCTGTTTCTGTTTCTTGTCTCGCGCTGTCCGTTCGCTCTGCCTCATTCCGGCATAGGCATCTCTGATTGTATGAGCACGGCTTCGGCGCCGTGCAATTTACAGCCAACGGCCGTTAGATGGGTTTCCGCGCCGTTGAGATCTGTTTGAATGGGAGGAGATAGTGATATAAAGTCTGGCTTTGATGCAGGCTATGAGTTTACTTCTTCAGTTTTACATTCGCATTTGCATTTGCATTCATATTCATATCCACTCGTCTATCTTTCTTGCATATTGATTTCCCGGCTGATATACAAGCTCGGCAATACTCTTCAATCACGGCATATACAGCACTCTACATACCAACCCCCCAAATTCAATACTCGATTTAATCGAGGAACCCAACAAAATGCCCGTCGGACCTCGAGTATCCAAAGAAGAATTCATGCACGCATTGGGTCTAAACCCCCAAGACCCTCATCATGAGCAATACTACCGCGCCATGCGAGTAAGTACAACCTTATACATATCCTATACTGTTAACACTCATCCTACCTGTACTTCCCTCTCTCTCTCTCTCTCTCTCTCTCTCTCTCTCTCTCTCTCTCTCTCTCCCTCCCTCTCCCGTCTGCCATATACAAGCATGCACCATACATATCCCAAGAACCCCCTAACAAATCCCAAACCAGGACGAAGCAATCATTGTCTACAACCGCATGAACCTCGACACCGCAAACCTCCTCGACAACGTGCGCGCCGACCCAACAACCCGCCCGCCCTTTTTCTGGCACCACATCCGCCCAGACTGCCAGCGCTGGGCGATCCTCGAGATATGTCACAATGCGCCGCCGCTCGTGCGCGGCTTGTTCGAGCGCGGGGCGACGAATGGCGAATACGGCCCGAATTGGGTCGCCGGTTGGTTGTTGTATAGTGTTTTTCGGTCGCGCGATGTGAGGAATAATCGGAATAGGAGGAAGGGGGAGACTGGTGGTTCTGCGGGTTCGGAGTCTGGTATGTTTTATTCTTTTCTTTTCTTTTCTTTTCTTTCTTGGGACTGGTTATCTGGTGTATTGCTTCATTGATGGAGATGCTAATGAGTGTGTGTGTTTATAGATAAACGTACGAGGCAGGAGGAGACGACGCAGCCGAAGAAGTACTATGATCCTGTGCGAAATGGGACACTGTGATATTTTGGGGTTGAAGGTGTTTCTGGGGGATACTGGTTTTATTTTTCTTTTCTTTTCTTTTCTTTTCGCTTCGCTATTTGATATATATTTTGTATAATTGAAGTATGAACTTGAAGGCTATCTATTGGATGACCAGAAATGGCATGGAATGCAAAGTACATACACGTACGAAGAATGACAAGTAGATCGAAACCATCAATCATCATTCTCATCATCCTTATCATCCGAATCCTTCTTCTTGTCATGCTTCTGCCGGCGATCTGACTTCAAGACTTCTGTCACACGCTTATCCTGCTCATCAGCTCGCTCATTCCACTCAGCATCATACTCACCCGCGATATTCTTAATCTCCTTACGAAGCGAGTTCCCTTCGTCAATCAAGGATTCCCAAAGCTGCAAATCAATGCTGTGCAACTGATAGAGCTTCTTCTGCCTAGCACTGATCGTAAAGTCCAGTGCAGACTTGTAAGAAATCTCCCGATTGTGGTACAAAAACCACAAATAACCCCCCATCAGCGTGGACAAACTGACCAAGTAAGTCACAGGTTCCATAGTATCCCACCCGAGATCAGTCTCGAACGTCAACCTATAAACCGTAAACCACCAAATGGAAAGAATTCCAAACCCGCCAATCGCAACCCGCTGCGCACCCCGATGCGCCAGCGTATCACACTCTTCCTTCACATTCGCCATAGTTTGAATGCGTCGCGAGAGCTTGCGCAGCCGCATGCGGAGGTAATATGTGCGCTCGTTGAATGACGGTACCGTGACGCGGATCTGGCTTAGACCGGACGGCGCGCCTTCGATCGTCACAATAAACTCACCCGCACGCGCAGCATCCCGGATGAAGTCGCCTATCTCTGTGGCTTGCGACCAGCGTACGAAGCGCTCGGGTTCACCGTTTTGGGGCGGGGTGCCGTTCATTTTGCATGGGTAGCTGTAGGTTTCGACGTCCTCTTCTCGAGACCGGCGGTGCTGGATGGGTGATCTGCCGTTGAGCGGTTTGCTGCCGCCAATGCTGTCGTTGCCAGTGATAAAGTCCTTTTCTTGAGCTTGGTTTGCGTCTAGGTCGATCTCATCTTCGATTCGCTTCTTGGGCTTGATTGCATTGTCATCGTGCTGGAGTGCGACGAAGGATACGGCTGGTGGGCGGAGCCTGTCGGTGCTGCCTTTAATTGGGGGTAGTTCTGACTGGATCAAGCGCTCTAGGTATGATAGTGGTTGTTGGGGGTGGACTAGGATAGATATGGGTTCGATTTCTGATTGAGCTGTTAGCATGCTGGTCAAGTGATGTTTGGAGAATATGTTGAGGATTGACATACCTTTATCATGGCCTCCATTTGCGATGGTCGTTAAAGGGATGATCAATTTGAAAAGCCGCGATGGCGTCGTCAACATTTTACCTATCCCTAACGTCAGCATTGATACTTGAAGAAACCATAGCAGCACCTTATTACCTTTATTCATCCTTTCAGGCCACTTCGCTCCTTCAGTTGGGGACTTTCCGTTTTCACCATTCTCACTAAGAACTGTCCGCTGAGGTCGAGCTTCTTGGTTGCCTTTTTGAACTCCGAACTTCTCCAAGGGCTCCTTTGTCTTCGGATTATCGCCCGAGACTTGTGTATGATCTGCACTGCTGAATTTTCTTGTCTGAATCCATGCAATATGGTCTAGTGGAGCCGCAATTGGCGTAGTATATCCCGGTTTTGTGACCAGTGACGCGTTATGAGCTCTGAGACCAATACCTCTGCCGAGGCACCTCCCTGAGAATGAACGGATATATCTAGCTGTAATGGTAGAGCGGTGCCCAGTCCAGCTGTTTAGCTCCCCCGAGGCAGACTTTCCTAACGAGGCGTACGGGGCACCGCATTGTGATATCCTCCCCGTCGCCGCCGACACGATAGGGGCGCAATTCCGCACGGGGAAATGCATTTAGGAAAGGAGGGATCCTTTTTATTCGTTCAATTGCTTATTGTGTATGTCCACGGCGCATGTAATAATGAGAGAGAGTTATGTTGCAGACCGTCGGAATTGAATAAGGTTGAGTTCGCTTAGGAGGCTCAAGGCATGACGAAGCGGCGTTTCAAGTACGGAGTACACATGTGGAGAATGGAGAAGATGATGTAGGAAGCGAAGAATTGCCCAAGCAATAAGCTAGCCAGGATGATCCATGCACAAAACACAGCTAACACAGCTCATTTTGTGAAGTTGACTGCCTTGGAACCTTCCAAGGTTGGAATATGCTGACGTCAGAGAAGCGCACGGATGGAACCGGTCTCGGCACTTTGGGGCGGTGTGGCTCGGTTTGTGGCAGTGCTGGATATTAGGGACGTGCTATGTAACACTCCATGTCTACATACCTAGGTAATATATTGTAATGGAACATGATTATTCGAATATCTAAATTAGAATTTATGCAAAATAACAAGTAATCTTATAGATCTCGCATAATATCCTGCACGGCCTTCGCAGCAAATCGCTTCCGTTCGCCCTCCGGCAGCTCGGAGCTCATATCTAATAGCCAAGTTAGTACACCGCTATGTCAACTATGGCGAGCCCAAGTAATTAACACGGAATCATACCTTTTATTGTCTGCATGCGCATCATCAATGCCTCCATGCTCTCGACATCGATCTCATCCTCTCCATCATCATGGTCAGAGTGATCTCTCTCATCACCATCGCCACCTCCACGTTCAATTGCCATACGCAAACCGAACATTTCACGCTCCAATTCATGGACTTCATCGCCAAACCCACGAGAGCCATCCAGACCTAATAGTTGGTCTTGAAGATCATCCTCAGAATCCACGCCAGGGTCATTGTCTCCGTCAAGACCAGAGTCACCTCCAACCATAGACCAGTCATGAGTCTCGAGGACCTCTTTAATACGAGGCATACCCTCACGTTCTAGTAATAGCATAAAGTTAGCTAAAATCCAAAATCTTGCTATATAATCCAATAAACAAAAGCTTGCTTCAGTAAACTCACCCCCATACTGATTCCTCGTCTCAACCTCCAAACCCTCCTTAGGATCCCACTCAACAACCTCCCACCCCAACAACCCCATATCGAAAAACTGATCCTCCCACCACCCAACCGAAAATGGCACTGTCTCACCACCACCTAGATCCTCATCATCAATACCAAGCCTCAGCTCCGGATCGGGGTCCTTGGGTCCCTGCTGACCCGCAGCGGTACCCACAGCACCCTTCCGACTTCCAATCAAAACAAATACACCAGGAACATCACCGAGCCCGCCGCGCTCCTCGTCAATGCGCTCTTTGACAGCGCCAATACCGCGCATCAGGTCAAGCAGTGCGCGCACATCGGGCCGCTCCGCGGGGTCTGCGTCTGCATTGGATCCTGGTGGAGGTGTCGCATCGCTAGGAGTATGCGCGCACACAACCAGAGCCCCAACAGCCTCGCGCACGATCTCGGCTTCTGTGCTTAGAAATTCCGTTTTCCATTGCTCGGCTGTCGGTGCTGGCGCGGGAGTGCTTTGTGTGTCTAGGCCGTGGATCGCGAGTGGGATCTCATCGACCCACACGGGGACTTCGGTTGTGTAGTATTTTGTTTCGAGGCGGAGAGGGCTGTGGGTTGTGTAGCCGGCGAAGGTGCTTGTTGGTGGTGGGGGTGTTGAGCTAGATGTTGGTGAAGGGGCTGGCTGTTGTGGCGGGTCGACGACGGGGACACCAGTTAGGGAGTGCAGGAGTGGGGGGATTATTGCGAGGGATTGAGTGGTTGGTGTGAGTATTAAGAGGCGGCGTGGGTTGGGGATGTTCTTGATTTTAGGCTTCGCGGAGGTCGCGGGGTTGGATGCGGGCGCTGAATAGGTCATGGTGGCGGTACAATTGGGGGGTTTGAGATATCTCTTAAAACAGTTGGGCAGATAGTGCCCTGTTTACTCCATAGATAGTATTCGGTGGAAGAATGTGGTGTATTGAGACGGCTACCTGTCCCTCGCATAAAAACCAACGCAGTGGATGGATAGTTTCCCTTTCCATTTTAGTCCTCACCTCTTGCCGCTTTTTGATCCCCGACTTGATCACGGGATATTATGTAATCCATGCTTGACCCCGGGGTCCTATTTAAAGACGACTTATAATTCCTGTCAGGAAAAAAATGACCGTATAGACTTAGAATGCTGTCCTTGCTGCTCTTTGCTCCCCTGATACATTTTTTCGACAAGCCTTGTTCTGTCGAAGATGTACACACCCACTCCATGTAGACTTATCCGTGCTGTTCTACCATCCCCGCCTGAGGTATATTGCCTTGATATATGGGTGTTAATTGGATAATGCGCACCACCGTTCCAGGCCATTCACTCATCCTTGGGTATTCTATTCTGGAAGAGAATATTAAATTCCGTTGTAAAGTAAGGTAAATGGTAGGTCCGCGGGATGTCATACAAAAAGTGCTACATAAGAATCAAGATTATGTATCGTTGTATTTGCATAAACAGTCTATTATTTTATCAGGTTCTCCAATGACTTGGATATAATTTTTGTTCAACAATCTGCTGAACTCATGAACTTATTCTTCCACCAAAGTTCTTCACGTGAGATCTGCCGAGTTCCAAACATTAATCTGCACCAACGTTGACAGCAAATTTGCTGTATTTGCGAAGGATCGGCCCATACACATAAAGCAAGTATGGAATTGCGGCCATGACTGTACTGATGGCCCCCAAGATGGTCAGGGTGTAATGAACGCCGATAGAACGGTAAATAGGCCCACCAGCAACCGTCATGCCGCCTGCCACCACATATCTGGTGAAAACAAGGAATCCCAATGCAGATGCCGAGTATACACCATAGGAATCTATGATATACATGTATGTGACGATGAAAATAGTAGTGATTCCGTATCCGAACAAGGCGGAGGCAATGATAGGAGACCAAATTGAGATGGAAGGCTAAAAATAAAGAGCGCGAAAGTCAGTGACCGAAACAATGACGAACAAATAATGGACACTTACATAGCTGGTCCAACCCATCCAGAACAGGCTTATTGGCACCGCCGGAGCACCACCCAACATTGCATACCACAATCGTGTTTCAGGAGTAATCGTAGAAGTCTTCTTGTACTCTTTGGCAGTCCAAGAGTATACTACCGGAACCAGACAACCCACAAGAAGAATGCCAACTAGCATCCCCGCCCAGAGTATGCCAGTCATCTCCTGTGAAAGCCCGTATGTATCACCAAAAATGTATGTATATCCCTCCAGGAAGGTAAAGAGGACAATATAGATAACAGTTAGGTAGAGACACATCAGGATGATAATCAACTCGGAGTAAACCAGCGCAAATGGCCGATATACCGAGACCAGCAGTCGTCGGCCCAAAGCTTGGTTTTTCATCTCCATCGGAGCTTTGTATCTGTCATCCCCAGTTTCTTCGCGGAGAATCTTTGCTTTCCAATAGAGAATGAGAGGTCCGTATGTTTCTGGCTGAAGCACAAGAATAACAAGAAGGACCGCACCTCCCATAATAAGCATGATCCACTCAAGCCAACGCCACCCCAAATGAAGAGGAATATAGCTGCCCATTATCTGCCCAGCCATCGGTCCCACGAAGGATGGAATAGCGTAGGCTGGAAAGGCGTACGTCTTTTGTAATGGACTCCACAAATCCGCCACCGTACCTCCAGCGCAGGTGAGTGGAGTAGAGCCAAAGAAACCCGCAAGAAAACGGAAGATAAGGTGGCTGTGGATATTTGGAGCGAGCGCCGCGGCCATGATAAATATGAGAAAAATGGCCATGGTTGTTAAGTAGACGGCGTTCCGACCAAACGTCTCGGAGAATGGGCCTGAAAGGAGAGAACCGGCCCCAAAACCGACCAGAAATAGACCTGTTGGCATGGTCAACTTATGCAAAAAGAGTCATCATAAATTTGAAAGACTGTACATACCTGTCGCAAGAGACCCAACTACTTCAGATACATTGAAGTATTCACTGTATTGTCGGATACCGCAAGCATCAATGGCCGATGCGGCAGTTACAGAAAAAGCAATTAAAGTAACCAGAAGGGTCATAAACATCTTCCGCGAGACGGTCTGGTTTGCAGGGTTCAAAGGATCATTGTTACCATCCCAGTCCACAATGATGAGGGCATCGGTGGGGGATTTTTCTTGAGGCGAGGATTTGCTCGGCGGAACAGAAAGCGAGGCATCGCGTAAGTCGCAGCTGGATAATTGACCATTAATTAGCATGGCTAGAAATATATATTTTGCAAAGACTCGTTGAGCCATCACTTACCTCGAGCTATGTGGTGACCCAAGTGTATAATCCTCACAACTGCATTTTTCTCTGATTTCAGCTAGTTGGTGGCGAACATATTGTCTGATACGTTGATATTGAAAGAGAGATTCCATTATCGTGGGATCATTTGAAGACAGTGAAAAACCGGGCAAGTTATGATTATATAGCGACTGAAATTTTAACTATCATATTGGGCCCTAAATGTTATCGGATTTAAGTGCTTGGTTTTCAAAGCCAAAGGCAGAAATGTGGACTGTGTGGATCGTAGCTTAGCTGTTGATAAGTTCATTTTGTTCCACTTCGCCTACTATTTATGACCCAACTTCGGATTTCATCTCATCGGACATAAGGAGTACGGCTCTACAATTGAACTCCGAGTTAGTCTCGGCCGAATTAGATCCACCTGGACATCGGACTTCCAATTCGTAAAGGGGGATTTTTTGCTATCAAAAGACCCACAGCTTCTCGGCTTGAGCCCTTAATCATATTACAAGGCTGATACTTATTGCCCTCAGCAGAAATAACCATACCTACAACACTCTGCAAACGTTTGTTCTGATACGGAATGATGATATCTCTTCGATGTTGAGTCCGACAAATTGTATTTACCTCACCAAGAATTCCCTTTCGCGTTTTCCTAAGAATTTCTCGTTCATCTAATGATTAGTTAGTCAGTGGTGTAACAGGTTTGGCACCCATCTGAAAAATCGTCGGATCTGTCCAATATAAAGAAATCAAACTGCGGGAAGGTTGCCAACGCTATCCAAGTTCTGAACAAGTTAGTCCGGAGTCAAGAAAGCACGGATTCTATATCTTACCCAGTTGAAAAGACCCGCCCCAAACCATTCCCGCATATCGGTCCAGTCTTCAATTCTGCTCTCTAACCGAGGTCCAGAATCCGCCGGTTGCTGGTTTGCTGCTTCGAATTGAGCTCTGGATAAAGTCATTCAGCTGAACTTGCCACCGAGATGAAGTATAACTTACTGTAATTGAAGAAGTATGCGATGCGCTTTCAAACATATTGCACTCCGACGAGAAAGGCTCTCCATTCGAAGCACGAGTTTGTTTAACTCCTCCCGGTACGAGCCCGACTCAAAAGATGATGGCATATCCAGAAGGCACGAGTTGAGTGCCACAGCAGCATGAAGCGCCTTCAAGCTTGTAACACCTCTAAGCAACCAGAGATAGGGTCGAAGCAGTGGAACTTCGTAGATCTGACGATGGAGGCCGAGTAACGCGACACTGGAAGCTATGCACCTGTCTCGGGATGTTGCAAGAAAGCATGATGACTGAGAATGGCGAAAAGGGCGATGTAGAAGAAGGTAAAGTTGATGTGCATAGGTTTGTAGAATGCACCAATAGGCGTAACTGGAATCTAATATGTTTGGGGCACCGTCCACCAAATACGTCGAGTCCCATCTCTGTTGTTCCTCGGCAATCATTGCATCAAACCCCCTCAGTGGCTCTGCCTCAAGTCGTGAGGGACCAGATATGTGGTGACAGATCTGTGTGGAGATCCGGAAAAGCCGGACTTTGAACATCATCACGGACATCTGCGTGGGCGAGCTAGATGGCTGCGAGATCCCGTCTTGGGTAATATCAACATCATTGACATCTGCGGGCATTGTGGTTTTTATATCAAGAAGGAATGACATGTCGATATCCCGAAAGAGAATGGCTTGGTAGGTATGTAATGTCAATATTCCAGCCCAGCAGCGCCGGCGTCTCTCAGTCTCGAGATGATTAAGTCCCTGGGAGTCAACATTACACCGTAGGGCTATGCCGATGTTTAACGCCATACCCAACAAGGCCCACCCTTGATCGACAGACTCGTTGTGGGAAAGGTTATATATCACCATCAGCAAAGCCTCGAATGTGCTAAGTTTATGTCGGATAAAAAATTGATCTTGTAAAAGACAAACCATCGCAGTTTGCTGAAGCCGACGGGACAAAGTCACAGCCTCTTGTTCCTGGAAATGAGACCCTTTTGGCCATATATCCAGCAGTCTAGGATCACTTGGCTCCATGGTATTCAATGTCAAAGAGCACATAGAAAAGAGTAAGGCTAGCCAAGAGAGATCGACTTCATAGGGCTGTTGCATAAAGGCAACATACTGCTTTTGGAATGTTGGGCCATGGAGAATGGGGAATAGAGCAGAGATATGATTGAAAAAATGAGAAACCAGACAGTCGCAGCTGGTTCTAGAGGGTAAAATATCAATAATATCCCGAAGCGAGATACTCGGGCCAACTGAAAAGGGAGACAAAGTGTCGGTTGCTGCGACAGGATCATCTTCGGGACACGGCCGTTGAAGAACCGCTTCCCAGCGACTATCTTGAGAATCTTGAATTTCATCAGGTCCCAACCGCCCAGATCGACTACCTGAATAACTAGCAACAGGTTGCCTCAAAGGGCCTGAGGGGGCGGCGGGCCTTTTCCTAGATCGCACATTTGACGATGAGGGATTGGACGTTGTTCGATGATCGTTGGGGGATGTGGTCGGGACAGTGGGGGTGATTAAGAACGAGCACGACAGCTCGCACCCTCGCCGCGTACAAGCACCGCAAGGCTGTTGACGATCACACTTTAATTTGGAGCATCGGCAGTGCTCGCAGCTAAGGACTTTCCGCTTTCGGCGATAAGGAGATCTAGGGCCTTGCGCTCGACTCAACCCATCGTGGGTGGAGGAGCTTTGACTCATTGTATTTAGCAGTTATCTTTTACACGGAGTTGGAAGTCCGGTCCGCATTGTAAAACGGATAAAATCGACAAGGGTGTTCGGAGAAAAAGGGACTGTGATGTGGGGTGACGAAAATCGGAGTTTAGGGGGTTCGGAGAAACCGGGCCACCGACCTCGGAACTATCTCCGATACTCCGATGCTACGCGGCTTCGGAGTTCCTCGGATTTAGTTCGGAGTTTGCCCGACTGTGTCATAGGTAAGCGTATAACTATTTGTTCGACAATTCTTAGTCCCATCGAAGAAGATGTACGCACCCGCACGTTGGCCACCTCACTCCATACAGGGTGCGCATAACATTATCACGCGAGGTATATTGCCTTGGTATATGGACACAGCTGAATCTTTTGCTGTACATTACCGTTTTCTAGACCAGTTTACCCTCCGTCCTTTGGGTATTCTACTGTGGGAGACAGTATAAAGTATCGAAAACCGCGTTCCAAGGTGAACAGTAGGCCCACGGGGTCCCATACGAAATGTACTAAGATCAGTCTGGCGGATGCGATACAATCAATGACCTTATGAGAAATATGCATCCATAAACCAGAGCGCGGAGGAGAGAGAGACTGAGCGAGAGATATTTCCTATCCTGGTGTTGTCACATGGATGGAAGACTATGTCATGGACCTTGGGCTTGCTCGCCTTTGTAACAGCAATTCCCATGCTATCTATGGTCGAGTGGCGGGGTCCATGACGCTAAGGATAAAGGGCCCGAACCACTTTTGGTACACAGAATCGAGCGATAAGGGTAGATCTCATATACTGTACCCGTCAGATCAATTTAATATAGTCGACCCGTGAGCATGTTAGTCAAACTGGAACATGTTGATAGCTCACCCCTCCGCCAACCCTCTTCTGATGCTCTGTAGAGAACAAATACAGAATAAATTGGCAAACGCTTTTAATCAAGCCTAGGCTTGAGCGTTGCTCGCAGGGGCCGGCCAGTGTAGTGTATAGAAGCATACGCCTTGTACTTCATGTCCTCCTCGCTGCGTTTTACGAAGATATTAGTAAGAACATTCATAAAATATCAGACCAGAGTGGAGGGCTTACGTTGTTTCGTATAGCGACACCTCAAACCTGCGAAGCACAGCAGCGAGCGCGGCAGATATCTCCATGTATGATATACTATATCGATCAGCGGTTAGGTAGGTACCTACCTTGGTATGCATGTACGGAGGCAGGACAGTTCAGCTTGTTCCAAAGTTTCAGCAATCTTAGAAATACACGGTGGAACCGTGGATCCATAGCGGGACGGCACGAATAAATGACAGCCCCATGGTTACCTCGGTGCCCCAGTAGATTACGAGCCCATGTATTTCTATGTACGTGTTGAAATTGAAAAATCCGAAATACCATAGACATCGAAGAATGGGCACTTTACCAACTCCTCTCTATTCCCATAGGAGAAGCCCAAGGATCTGGTTCTATAGGCCTAGCATAGTTCAGTCGAAATGGTTAGTTATTTGTTGGTTAATTATTTGTCTTCATTTCTGATCCCCTGATGGCAAGGTTTCGTCTATGAGCAATTATCCACCGACCTGGATGATATAGTTATTATTCTATTCCATATTACTAGAAAGCCAAGTATTTCAGTATATTAAAGTCGAGCTCAAGGTGGATATAGGTTCCTTGCAGGATCTGAACAAGCTATGCTCAGCTGCCGCAATTGTATCGATCCATCGTACTAAAGGGGTTCAACTAACATTACTCCGTACAACATAAGGAGTTCCTAGTTCTGTCAGCGGTGCTAAACCCAAAGATTCCCAGCCCCTTGGAGTGGATGTCCGTATGCCGAATCTCGTGGATTGATGTCGGAATTAGGTAGGATACTAGTAATACATGTGTTACAGTGTTCGGTACCTTAATTCTTAGATAATACCATACAGTCATTTACTCCCATGACCCGGTCGAAATGTTCGAAATCCAGATGTTAATACCAATTCACACTCCATGTTTACAACCAAATTAATGATGGCGAATCTGCTATGAGAGGAGGTCTTCGATGAATCACTATCACAAAAAGATATATATTTGCTATCTAGTTGGAGGAGGCAGGTCTTAGGCAGCTATAGACCTCAACAGCTAGCATCGGTCTAGGCCATGTTCCTCAAGACTCTCTGGTTGATCTTGAATCCCGTCACCGGAATCTGATCAATACAGCGGACCCCACTGGACAGACATTGCAAGCCAGTCAGTCTCTCACCCGCATACCGCTCCATATCCTCCTTCGCCTATTCAGGCTTTTCACAGAATTCCGGCTTCAAAACAACAAATGCAGTCGGTCGGTCCGGTTGGGGGGCTTCATCACGGCATCCTGATGGAAAGCCAGGAGAAGAGAGAGCAATGCAACTGTATTCGGAAGTGCTAACTGCCCGCACTCAATATCCATTTCATTCTGCTCAGGTCTGTTTCGCTATGGTCGGACGCAAGCTTCGCAGCAGCCAACGGGGGCGCAACAAAGAGGAACGTGATCCCGTGAAGGGGGATAACATCGATATTGGATGATTCGAGAGATTCGCGCATTAGCACCACAGGAATTCCCAGTAAGATGTTAAGACCCATGTGCAACTTGGCGCTGATGAAAAAGCCGAGAGACAGGGGGAGATCCACACATCTTCGTCTGGGTTGGTGGTTGATGGAACTGTGAGGCGAGTGGCTTCCATCGTTGCGATGAAATGGGCGTGGCTGACCAGAACGGACTTCATACTTCCAGTAGAACCGCTAGTGCGGTTGATGAAGCCTGTGTATTCTTCCGCCTGGGAATTGGTAGTCAATTCGAAAACCGGGGCGAAATGGCTACCACCGCGGCATCTCGATTCCACCAGGATGCCTTCCATATTCGGATCTTCCGCGATCCAAAGTAAGCAGCAGAATATCGCGACACTGGCTCAATGCCTTCTTTGTTAGGGAAAGCAGCTTTTGATCAGTCAGAATCAGCTTGGCATTGACCAGTGTGAGATCCGGGACAATGTCCGTCTCATTTGGCGAACTCATTCTGCGAGGCAGAACTGCAGAATACGTACCACGCAGACGAGCCCCGAGTTGAGTTCAAACTGGTCCAAGATGCACCGGACCACTTCATCCTGATCATCAGGCTGCTACATGCTCAGTACGATGCAATCAGTCTCCAGAAGCTCGTGTCTGATCTGTGGGCCCAATACGATAACCAAGAAGCACGCATTGAATCCGACTTTTCCGCTTATGCGCGTGAGTGCTTCCGACAGAGAACCCCCGAGGCGTACACATTCTGGGGAGACCTGCTCGAGGATTCGCAAGTCACTCCAGTTCCCTTTCCAACTGTTCCGGTGGCGGAGGAGAAAAGTGTGGGCTTTGAGAGGGATATGCCTTTACCTACGCCCCCTGCTGGGATAACCATGGCGACGGCTATCAAAGTAGCCTGGGCAACGGTGCTACAAGAATGGACAGGGTCCTCGGACGTTGTCTTCGGGCAATTGACCGCCGCTCGAAGTCTGCTTCTTCCCGGTATTGAGGAAGTTATCGGCCCCTGCGTTAATACAATCCCTGTCCGAGTTCAACGAACTCTAAAGTCTGACACTACCCATGAGCTACTACGTGCTGTCCAGTCTCAGCATGCTAAGAGTATCGGGTTTGAAACCATTGGATGGAATGACATTAGGGGCAATTGTACCAATTGGTCATCAGGAACCAAACTGGGATCAGTGGTGGTGTTTCAAAGCTATAGCAAAAGTGTAAGAACGCGGTTTGGTCAGCTGTCCTGCCAGAAGAGCACGTAATTCTTCAATCTCCCCCTGAGGATCTTGTGTGGTTGCTCGTGTTTCCTACTAGCACGACTGCCTTGTTTGTGATCGAGTCGTCCAACTCCATTCTCAGAAAGAATGAGGTAGACGTACTTCTGGATCGATTCTGTGAAGTGTTGGGGGGGTATCGGCAGCAGGAAGGAATGAGCTAGTTTCCAGAGCTGCACATTTCCGGGAAGCCTTGGCAATTGCCAAACGGGAAGTGCTCTGATCTAGAGGCATGGGTTTTGAAGCTTGACGGGAAAGGGAAATTATCCAATGTGTTTTCTGTCCTATTTCTGCAGAGGGGAGGGGAGTCACGTGACGTAATTGCAGCCTGCGTGACCAAAGCGCGTTCTAAAAGCGGCAGGAGCTCCCATATACATACGGCCCACGCTGTCCGAATTGCTTGACTCACTATTTTCATTGTAGGCATTAATCTGCTAGGTTGATTCCGTGGGTATGGAACTCCTGCTACGCTTAATATGCCCTTCGCACACTAGCCGTATATGACCCGCCATCCGAGGCATTGAATCGATATCAATACTAGATGAGACCATGTGAGCTAAATATACACAGACACACCTTTAAACTACAAAACCAGGAGATTCATGTCGGGTATTGATTCATAAATTCAATGGTGCTCTGACAAAGCATCTACAAGAACAAATGCCAGCCGATATTTTAAGACTTCGCAAGATCAAAGCCCGAAAAAGAAATCCCCTAAGAACCAAGAAAACAAAGAAAAACGCCAACCACTCTTGAATTTGTGAGGCCTTGAAACTGCGATTTCATCTCTTCCACATAACATCTAACCCCGGCCGCGCTGGCCACGCGCACGCTGCACTGTAGCCTTACCACGCGCCAAACCGACACCGCGCCCGCGCTGGCCTCGTGTACGGAACATGGGAGCATTACTAAAAAATGAAAAAAAAAAAAAACTAGTCAGCAACGGTGAAATTCAAGATGCATAGTTCGCGAAATCGGTATCCAAAAAGGTGAATATCAGGGTTTAACGTACCGGAGCATGTCAGGCACAATAAAGAATCGCACATGGCTGCCGCGAATGTATACCTGGTCGAGATGGGAGACTCGGCCATCGCGAGCGGTGACGGTGATGTCCTTGAGCTGGACGTTCATGTTGTCCTCAGCTGTGATAAATGCATGTTAGTTTTCGAATCGCGCAACAGGGACATTCCCAAGGCTTGTTTATGGACCGCCTCTATGAACAGAGAGCAGACACATAAAAGCTTTAGTAAAAATAGCTCACTGACCTTCCAGGAGTTTCCCCCGGTAGACAACTCCGGATGTGATCTCAATTGTCACAACATGGCCCTATTGGAAAACGATGTTAGTCCATCTGTCTCGCGCTATCCACGGCGATATCCATTTTCGCGATGTCATGCGAGTATTTCCTTCCGATCGAACAACCGAAATGACAATATCAGGGACTGTAACGCACCTGCGCCTCGTTGAGGAGCTTGATCGGGATGCCGATCGTGGAGGTGAGCTTGCCCATTTTGACTGTGTGACGCCGAACGAGGATAGAAAGCGATTACCGAAAGTCGAAAATAAACCTAAGAGCTTCCTTCGCGCACGAAAAGGCACGAATCAAAGCAATGGGTGATCGTGGGGAGATGGTGGGACAGTGATGAGGTCGGAGTAAAAGTGGAGGTTAAGAGAAAGGCGAGTTTTGCGGCTAAGCTCATCCTCTCCGCTTTGGGCTATTCCGACCAAACAACAACTCCAACCCTCAAAAAGGAAAAGGCTCAAAAATATCCCACATAATGCGCGTCCAATAACACTCTCTACGTCTCGGATAATTCTACGTCAAAAATTCAAATACCACCATAATGGCCGGCTCCCCTAATTCCAATCTACGTGGCTTCAACCACGCCGTCCAAACCCTCCTCAAACAACCAACCCAATTCCTCCCACACCTCACCATCCCAACCTTCACCCACCTCCCCGAGAACCTAGGACCACACCTGATTAGCGGAAAGAAAGGTCCCCAGACACAAATCCCAACTCCCGAAAAACCCCCGCACACACCTACAATCCGTGCCCTAGTGCTCGACAAAGACAACACACTCTGCGCAGCGAAAACAACATCCTTCCCTCCACAGATTCTGGCCAAACTCTCCTCCCTCCGCACCTCGCCAACCTCCCCGTTCAACCAAACTACAAACCCGCACTCAATTCTGATCGTCTCGAACCGCGCTGGCAGCCATCCGCGCTTTGACGGTGAAATCTCCGAGCTAGAAGCGCAGCTTTCGCATCTGCGCATTCCTGTTTTCCGGCTGCCAGCGGGGACGGAAAAGAAGCCTTTTTGCGGTCAGGAGGTTGTGCAGTGGTTTCGAGAGAGGGGGGTTGTTGAGTCTCCGCATGAAATTGCTGTTGTTGGGGATCGGCTTGGAACTGATGTTCTTATGGCGGGGATGATGGGGTCGTGGAGTGTTTGGTGTAAGGAGGGGGTGTTTGATGTTGGGATGGAGGGGAAGCCGGAACGGAATGTTTTGGAGAAGATGGAGGTTTGGATTGATTGGTTCCTTAGGGAGAAGGGAGGGTATAAGGCGCCCTTGCCGATGGGGTGGGAGAAGCAGAAGCAGACGTAAGGCATTTGATGCTGTGTAGATATAAGACGTTTAAGATATCCTTGTATAATAGTGTATACGAATAGTACCTATGTAGTTACTATTGTACAATATAGTGAGAAGAGATTACAGCTACAATCTAGACGGAGGTGTGTGCAATATAAAATGAATTGATTCCGAGCCTAGCGTCAATCCCCCACACTCATATACCGCCAGCTCAACGCTGTCCTACTTGTATGGTCCCAGGCAGAAGATATCACAACTCTGCGCAGCCCAGAGGATTGGCGTTGGTTGGATGTCAGACCCAAACAGGTGCCGACAGAACAAGCTCATTTGCAAGAATTTGACTGCAGACTCATGATGTGGGAATGGGTCATTGTAACCACAGGAGTGTAGGGCAGATAGTATCATCCTCCTTGAAGAAACTCACACAAAAGGGAACAAAAAAGGAAAATTGAGGGGAATGGAGTCGCAGCCCAAGTCGGTCTGTTTGGCATAACCACGTAAAATAGAATTTGAAATGGAAAAAAAGGGGAAAAGAAGAAGAAAAAGTGATCCCGGCCATAAATCAAAAATGAAGAAAAATGAGGAAAAATGAAGAATGGTAGATTGACCGGGAAAAAGAAGAAGAGAAGAAAAAAAAGGTCCTCGATTCAACCGGTACAGCCGGGAAAACAGAAAAAAAGAACAAAAATCGCTTCAGGACCGGCCCCAGAATAGAAAGGGTATAATCAATATAAGACATAAGGGTATGTCACGCAAGAAACACATCAAAGGGTAAAATCGCTTTCCTAGCCGTCGCCAGCGAGACGAGAATCATCCAAAAAGAGCCGTCGAGGGGTTTTACAAAAGAAAACCGAAACCAAACACCTAGCCACGGCTCTCGACATTGGACAATGAAGAAATTCCCAAGGTATAAAAAACCCACCAAAGAACGCATGAGCATAAGCGCCGCATGCACAGAAAAGGCCGTGAAACATCAAGGGATAAAAGAAGAAACACAAACTCAAGAACCTCAAGCAACCGTTCATGACCCAGTCGGCATGCCCTGTGAGTTGATCTCATCCAAGTTAGCCATACTGTGGGAGTAATCGCCCATGCCAGGAGAAGGGTGGGCAGAGAGGCCATGCATGGGCAGTTCGAAGCTCGGGCTTTCGTGCGAAACTCCATAATTGATATGATGCTTCGAGTACATATCGTTAATCGAAAGACCGTCATCAAAGCCAGTCTGCTGGTCATGGGAGAAACCATACATATCGGAGGAGCCGTGCGATATGTTGGACAGTGGTGGTGAGTGGTTTGCAATCAGCGGGTCTGCAGGGCTCATGCTGGAGTAAGGAGATGGGGCATGAGAGCCCATTGCCGAGGCATCGGTTGAACCGCCCGAGACGAAGGGCACATTGAACTGAGGCGCCATGCTGGCAACTGGTGTGATCTCGCCCTGACCGGCATTGCTGTACATGGGACTGGCGAAGTCGGGAGGTGATCCGGTGGTCGTCGCAGACATGGAGTTGGTGCGGAAATCGAGTCCATATCCTTGGGTGTCGATGCGAAGGTCGGTGGGGAGGTGGTGCACTGACTGGGGAACGGGTGCGTAGATGCCTGCCTCCGTGTGGTTGAACGGGGGTGGAGGGGGTGGCACGTGGAAGGAAGACATGGGACTCTGGAATGACGAGATATCAACTGCAACAGGTACAGAACGGCTTCGTTGGCGCTTGTGGCCACGAGCAGCTGGCATATTGAAACCCAAGTGGTTGCTGTCCTGGTACAAGTTCATGTAAGTGGGAGCGACAAACTGGTTGGGCTGAGATGCAGGACGCTGGATGAATGGCGGAGACATCGCAGCTGGCGCGGTAAGATTGCTGTTATTATAAGCCAGGCGGTTCTGGAAGGACTCTAACGACACAAGCTTGGCAAGCTGAACGCTCAAGACCTTGGGATGGCCTCCCAGGTGATGAACCATGATCTGACTAGCTTGTTGCTCCTCGGTGAAATCGCCACACTGATAAAACCCTCCAGAGTTGGATGAGTCCATGTAAAAGTGCGGCGGGCGGTTCAGTTCCACGACAAGACCACCTGGTCGAGGTGGTTCCCCATTCGGCCCAGGGCTTGGATCACCGGTTTCCAAGGTGATGTTCTTGATATAGGCGAACGGATACTCGATCTTATAGCCAGCAGCATCGTTGTTGATATAGTATGTCATGCATGCCTTATCGGGGGAATAGAAAACGACCAAGTCCATGGCGTTTTGTCCAATGCGCCGCCAGCTGCCGACAGTCAGGGAACGGCAAGTGAAATGAGAGATCACTAAAAGGACGAGTTAGTTTAACAGATGATTGGATCAGAGAGAGCCATAAACATACCAACTTTGCCAGAAGAGTTGGTCTCGTTTGCGTACATGCTCGGCGGGCCATATGAGCCAGTACGTCCAAAGGGGTCTCTTGCGCCAGGCTTGTTCGGGTCAAACTGCATCGCGAGATAGTGTCGCATGGATTCGGGGATAGAATCGCATCCTTCGCCAGTTTCAATGCTCTTTTTCGCCAGCATCTTGATTTTAGCACGACTATCTTGAGTCAGTAAAGATGAAAAAAATACAAACACACTTTCAGGTAGAACCTACCGGTTCTGGAACCAGATTTGCACAGACCGCTCCGTCATGTTAATGTCCGAAGCAATGCGTTCTCTGGTAGCCGCAGTGGGTGTTGGGTTCTTGTTGAATTCGATCTCCAGAAGGACAAGCTGATCCTGAGTTGCGCGTTGACGTTTGTTGTTTTTCTGCTGTTGAGTCAGAGTGCTTTTGCGAGGAGGTCGGCGCGTAGCAGACGAATGAGCCGTGGTAGCACTCGAAGTTGACGGAGAGGGTGTGGAAGCTGGAGGCGAGGAGGACGATGCCGTGGGTGCAATTCCGCCGGTTGGCGGGTAATGCATTTCTGTCAACGAAGACATAATGTAACGTGGTATGGTAGAAAATATATCGCACGTAATCGGGAATGTGTGTTTAAGGTGTTCGATATGCCTTTCTTGGGGTTGCGTATATGGTTTTTTTTTTTTTTTTTTTTTCGGAATGAAAGGGTACGGTGTGTGACGATCCGGCCGACAAATAATAGGATGGGTGTGATTGTGGTGCGGAGACAGATTTTTGGATATGATGATGTTCTCGAAGCAGCCACAGGCGCGAGAGAGACAAGTTGAAGATGTAAATGAACGGAAGTCCAGCGTAGGGATCGAATGGCTTTCGAGGGTGTCCACGTCAGAGACTGGGTGGTTGGGTTGAAAGGGCGCGTCGCAGAGGCGTCCAAAAAAAACGAGGGGATAAATAAAAAGGCTGGCCTAAGCAGCTGGGAACGAATGGCAGGGGAATAATTTCTCCCTATATCGACAAGAATCAATGAAGAATCAATGAAGATGTTTCGGCAAATGCTCAAATACCCAGGTTGAGTCGATCAACGGGGGGAGGGAACGGGAGGGGGAGAAACCGTTCTCGAGGAAATGAATGAATTGGGTAGAAATGAGTGATATAATGTCGCCGTGAAAGAATGAAACGGACGCAAGAAAAAAAGAAAAGAATGGAGGGAATGAGAAACACAATAGGCAGAAGAAGAAAGCGGATCAGGAGATGGGAGATGCTGACTACTCCGTACACAGGGAACGGGTTAACTTTGGATGGACAACGCACCGGGGGCTTTCTGGGACTATTGGCACCTCATGGAGGGGCCCATTGTTTTTTTTTCTTGGTCAGGGCCTCGATTTATTTGTCTTTTTTTTTTTTTGTTATCTCTTACGTTTTTTTTTATTACCATTTTTATTATTTTTTCTATGAATTTAAACCAACAAAATCCATATATATTTCTCTATCTAGGATCGCAATGTGCGATGTATGGAGTGGAAGGAAACTGGTTTTGGCCCCTGCGTTGACCTGCATAAGCCCAAGCAACACGGAGTACTGGAGCAATAAGGGCACACAGAACATTTGTTTTGGAGAGGGGTACGAGTGCCACTCCCCTTACTCGGCGTTTATGTCTTGTCCAACTGGATCGGTGTGACTCTCTTTCTCTCTTTCTCAGTCTCTCTCAGGGGCAAGTCTAGTTCGACTACTCCCTAACTATAGGAAAAGGACATCGAATAAACACACGAACCTGATCGCCTAAATACCGAACGGCATCTAAGTGAGATCGAGGAATCTGAGACACTGTTAACAACTCGATACGTTTCACGGAGTACAATTTGACGAATTAACGTGTACCGAGTGGGATATATGAATCTCGATGCATGGAGTCGAAGTCTTTTCCCCTGGCAGTTTCCCCTGATTCGAAAATCGTCAGCCATTGACGATTGGACAGCGTTAGGGACCACGGTTTTCGGGGGCTGATCCTGTGGACTCGGCCAATAAGCATGCAGTTACACGTGCAGTTCCGTGGACCGCCAAAGAGAAACATTCAGGTACCCGCCCTACCATCGATTATGATTGGTCCTAGAAACATGACAGGTCATTCTAGACCACCCCGGCCAACTCTACATCCGTTGTATCCGGTTTTCTAATACTCCGCTTTAAGAGTTGCTCGTTTACTCCGTACTCCGTACGTACGGAGTATACATCCATCATATGATATAAATAACTATGTACAACTTCTGTGCTCCGTATCTGTTGTATATGTTGTATATTGTGCATAACTATCATAACTATTGAATCGATGTTGTGTAGTGGAGAAACCAGAATTCCTAAGTGTTTATTCTTTGCCTTCGTTTCCGTCGGCTACTCCGTGCTGTAGGCAGTAACCTTCGAGTTTACAACATAATGACCCAACGGTATGTTGCGCTTCATCTTCTATTGTTGACATGCGAGATCCCGATATTCCCATCTAGGTAAATACCCCTAGGATCGTTCATTGTTTCAAGCTTGCTCCGCGAACCGGTTCATCCCTAATTGCCCGCGGGGAAAAGAGAACCCCTTAAAATACCAAAAGAAAAGAAAAAAACTTTGTCAAAAGATGAAGAAACAAGCCCCTCTGTCAAGCGCTTGCACATAACTATCCACAATTGACAATTTAATCCCCGTCGGCCAACCGGAGTCACTACCCAACTCCCGTAGCTTATCCGTAGTTTCCCAAATCTGCTCAATAAGCTCCATTGCCGAGTTCCGCTGTTGTTCCCGATAATAAGCTGTCATAGACTCATGCTTCTGTCGAACCCACACACGATCTTCAGGGGATATAGCCTCCCTCGCCGCAATGTAAAACGGCTGAGGCAGCGACGAATCGGGCCCACAGCCCGTTGACAGATGATCCATCAGACCAAAGCACACATGTGCCAAATGCTGCACGCGCGGCGAGCACGTCTGGTCTCGAAAGACCCGACGGGCAAGCAGCAAATGAGCAGTCCAGTAAAAGCACTCGGTAAGGATATCTAGAGGCGTGCGCTCGCCTTGCGCCGGTGGGATTCCATTATATGCGGATCCCCAGGCGCGGAGCTCGGTATCGAGTTGGAATGCTTTGTTGAGAATGGCGCCTTCGTGTAGATTTGTTTCGAGCCCGTCGCAGGCTAGATGCGCTATTCGTACTAAGAAGCACATCAATGGCTGTGGACATCCTGTCATCTTGTAGAAGGAGGGCTCGGTGGTGTCCCAGCGATGCTGGTCGGGCTGGTTGAGTATAAAGTTTTGCGGTGCGTACGGCCTTCGCTGTCGTGAGATGGCTAGCATTACATCGACCATGCCGAAGCGTTGTACTGTCATGCGTGCGATGGGATTTTGTGGGATCTCGTCGAAGTAGCCTACTGCTTGCATGAGCCAAGAGGCGCATTTGATGTGAGGCTCCAGTACGCCATCTGCTGACTGTGCGACGACGATCCCCTGAAGAACAACGGCTGTGAGGAGCGCTTCTCGCTCGTGCGTGTTGCTGGCTACGATTGTACCTGCGTCATACGCGGCCTTGGCGTCAATACTGAGCAGGTTTTGTCCGAGCGTTCTGAGCATTCTCTGCTGACGCTTAGCCGCGAGATCAACGCTGGCTAATCCGAAGTTGAGCATATGTTCTGTCGATATGCAGACAATAGTCTCGAGAAGAATCGGTGATGATAGGGCTGGGATAGAGACCTGTCGGTAAGGGTTGTCCGGGCCATCTACAGCGGGGACATTAGATGAAACGAGGCTTATGTCTATGCGAGTATTCTCGATTAGATATTCCAGTTCCAATCATATGGCATGAAGTCACGTACAATATTCCCAGGCAGATTTGTCTTCTGCAGACTCAAAACATGTCTGTGCGAAAAGTGCCGAAGGTCGACCTATGTTTTGTGCTATTGCTCGACGAGTGTCTTTGCGAGGCTTATGTCTTGTTGGTATTGGCTCTTTTGGTCGAACCCATTTCACACCCGATGAGTATTGACAGTCCAAATCCCGCGAAGCACAAAATGAGCAAATTGGCTGTTGCTCGTCACATTTATTGTGTTTCTTTCGGCATTGCAGACATCCTTCTCCGTATCTATATCAGCACTTATACTTCGCCTTGGAATGAGCCGTCATACCAGTCCGTGACCGTGAAAATTTGTCGTCTCGAGGCATTTCGCCGATCAAACAAATGATCTACCTCTGGCTAGTGAGAGATCCACAAATAATATAGTAGGGACATGGATTATATGAGTCTTGTTTCCCCGCAGCCTTCTCACCATATACGACGGTCACCTGACTATTGACCAATTAGATTACTATCAACACTCGGGACAATATATATTGCAATGACACTGTTCAGATTAAGTCTATAATATACAACATATGCTAAGATTTTTTGTTGTAATGCGGTAAAAAATGAAAATAAGGGGAACAAGAGTGGCTATGGTGAATTCTTTTGAAATTGCTCAAAAGACCACCTCCTAGCTATATATATATACAGCGGCATCGACTTACCATACCGCAGCGGAAAAGTCTTGTCAAACATACGCAAAGAGTCATTCATTCTGATTGATTAGAAATTGAATTGCAATTTAACGAAGCTAATTGTCGGAAGATACGACGGAGACTAATTCGCAAAGAAACCTTTATCCCAGAACCTCCTGAATGACCCGAACAGTCCGATCGACTATCAAATCAATCTCGTCACGGGTAGTATTGTAAGGCGGCGCTAGGATAATATGATCCCCATTAACACCATCGATACCGCCATTTCCGGGCATCAACGAAATCGCATGTGCAGGCTTGAGCCCTGTCGCATGTAGAGTCCGAGAAAGCGCCTTTGAAGGCGGATATGGCTCTTTCGTCTCTTTATCCTGAACAAATTCCATCTATAACCATGTTAGTAAAGTCACAAAAATAGAAATGTAGAAAACTAACAGCCCAGAATAATCCTCTGCCTCGAATTTCACCAATATGGGGGTGACTATCCAAACGCTCGTGAAGACGCTGACCCAGATAGTCTCCCATCGCTCGCACATTCGGTAGCAGGTTATCCTCTTGTATGATCTTCTGCACCTTATATGCAGCCGCACAGGCGACTGGATGTCCCTGGTATGTCTGACTGTGGACAAAAGCGCCGGTACCCTTGTTCAGAGTGTCGACGACATGCTTGTTGATGAGCAACCCTGCGACCGGAGCATAGCCGGCGCCGAGTCCCTTGGCAATTGTTTGAAGATCAGGGACGACGTCTTCTTGCTCCCAGGCATGGAGGGTTCCGGTGCGGCCCATGCCGGACATTACCTCGTCAAGGATGAAGAGCGCACCGTGTCGCTCGCAGACAGCTTTTAGTGCCTTGAGGTAGCCGGGCAATGGGGGAACACACCCAAGTGTCTATGAAAACAATTAGCATACTTATCATGGCAGGATTGCGTTTTACTCACAGCACCTGGCATTGTCTCGGCTACGAATGCGCAGACAGTGTTGGGGCCAAGTCTTTGGAATTCGTCTTCCAGTTCTTGGGCCAGTCTTGCAACGTAGGCTTCGGTGCTTTCATTGGTATTCATTCTGCGGTAGGGATAGCATTGGGGCACGTGGTTGATATTCTTCGAAAGAAGACTTTCATAGATCCTCCTCCGCGAGGCGTGGTGTCCAACAGCAAGTGACCCGAGGGTATTTCCGTGGTAGGACGACTGCCGAGAAATGATATTCACCCGCTGGGGCTCTGGAACGGGCAACTCTGTAAAGTACTGAATAGCCATCTTCACAGCAGCCTCGACGGCTTCGGTACCTATTGTGTTTTTAGAAAATCAATCGTGATTCAGCATAGACATGGGTTCTTACCCGAGCTCACGATATAGGCACGAGACATCTTGCCTCCGGTTGAGTCTACCAGAAGCTTTGCCAAACTCTCCGCAGCACTATTGGTGAAGAACATTGAATAACAGTAGGGAACTTTCTTCAGCTGGTCCAAGATGGCTTCGTTGACTCGCTCGTCACTGTGACCAAGACAGGATACAGCTGCGCCACATGTCGCATCCAAAATTTCCAGACCATCCTCAGTTATCAGGTAGCTTCCTCGACCACTGACAATGTTCAAGGGCTCATTTCGTAGTTGGTGGTAGAGGACTCCGCTGGATGGTTTGATACCAGTGGAGTCGACCAGCTTCTCGGATGGGGTAGGCACTGAAGCTGCTGCCAGTTCCGGTGTATAGTCACCCATTGTATAGATTGCGCTGAAGGGTTGGTTTGGAAAAAGAAAAAGAAAAAGGATGAATCAAGTGATGGTTGCTAAAGATGTTTGATTTGAACTGGGACTGCTTTGTGCTGGGGGATGGGAGTCATATATAGACTCACCCCGCCCTGGCCAAGAATCAAAACGCAGACATAGTAAACTGACACTTGAAAAATGGTCCTGACATAACGCCGTGATTGGCAAGTCTCGCCTTGTCATACAACTTGACGTTCATACTTGGCCACGATAAACCATTCCCAAAGAGGAAATATTTGTCGGACCCACGTTCGATGACCGTGTCGTTGATCTGATAGGTTGATATAATTTATGAGATAGAGAGCTTATTGATAAGAAGAAAGAGACTCCGGGGATCTTTGCTTTTATTCCCAATGGTTTTCGTGCCGGTTACACGGATTCATTAGAAATAGCAGCTATAGAGGGGTATCGGAACGATCTTTGAGTCCGAAGACCACAGCGCAAACAGACCTTATTGAGCGATCAGATGGAGAAAAGGCAACAGATCATAATCCTGGAAGCAATGCCCGTGGACTATGATGCAGCTACCAACCAATAGCCCGCTTGTCAATTAGATGTCAGTCAGACTGCCTCTCATGCATGAGGATATGCCATTCGATCGTTCTCCGTAACCCCTCTTCCTACCCGATAACCGGTCCCCAGCGGAAAACTTCTCTGGTCAGCGTAGGGTCATCCACCAACGGTAGCAGATACGCAATAAGACATGAGAAATTAATGGAACCCGTTGTTCCGGTCTCTTTAGAAAGGAATGCCCTACATATTAAATCCAAATTCGCGCACTAGTTCAATTAGTATCAACGCTTTATCTATCTGAAGACCAGATGGTGTATTGATGATATGTCTACTAAGTAGCCGAGAGTGAATAATGTGAAATTTCTCTTAGGTATCAAAACACTCGTCCATGTAAAAATTGTTAGGCCCAAAAGAAGACTGTAAGATACTCAGAAATTGACCGTTGTGTATCCTCATCAAAACACTTCCCCTTCAGCTGCTCCGTCGGCCATACGGTTCAAATGGCAAAGCTCCGGCAATAATTGCCATCACAATGTAAAGGGCCGCGCATATGTATATCGGCACGGGAGTGCTGGACTGATAACAATATAAGCATTCTTCTCAAGAGAGCAAAGAATAAATCCTTACATTCGCGGCAAGGCTGACAACAGCACTGACAATTCCCATGATCCGATTGAGCGCAATAGCAACACCATTTCCTGTGCCCCGGTGGGCGGAGGGGAATACCTATCGAGTAATGAGATATGGGATGACAGAGCCAATGAAAGTGAATAAGCACATACCTCGGGCGTGTAAGCATAGAGGGTACCATAGTAGATATTCAAGCAGAAGGAAATAGCGCACGTGAACCCCACATTCTGACTCTGAGTGCGCACTTGTGTGTAGCAGAAAAAGAAAACCATTGTGATTAAAGCTCCGACGATCATGGTTCCCCGACGACCCCAGAACCAGGGCGAGCGACACATGAATCCCGCTAACACAGGACCGAAGATACTACTGGTGTTGTTGATGGCGTAGATTCTCCAGGTGATAAACGGGCTGGTCTGTCCAAAGGATGCGCCGCGCGATGCAAGGTATGTGGGGAGGAAGACATTGTAAAGCGGATAGGCAAGGCCAATGAGGAGCCATGAGAGCCAGACCAGAGTCGTCGATAAGGCCATTTTGCGAGTTGCGAAGAGTCCACGAAGATGAAAGAACACTTCACTTGGGGAGATGAGCTGCGCAAGCCTGCCAGACCCTGGAGCCTTGCTGTGAGCAATTTGTCCGCATGCCTGAAGCTTGTCGATGGATAGGCTGCATGGGCGGTTGTGTCGATTGGCGATGCTGCGTAGGACGTGTACTGCTCGCTCGTCTTTGCCTTCGGAAATGAGGAACTTGGGAGTTTCTTCAAGGCGGATAATGGTTACACGGAGGATCGAGAGAACGAACACCAAGGCGCCGGATGCGTACCAAACATAACGCCATCCCTGGTTATTTTCACGGGTGCATGTGGCTGCATCGCTACAGGAGAAGTTAGGAAGAAAGGCCCAAGCAAACAGACCTGCGATAAGCTGACCCAGACCTAGATACTGCGAGTCAGTTCAGACTTTCGACGGAAGGTATACTAGGGAGTTTAATCTCACCCCACCACGCTGCCATCAGTGTCAGCAGCCACTGTTCCTTGCTGGGAAGGTATTCGAGAAAGACTGTAGTATCGAGAACTAGGTTTCCCCCAGCACCAAAGGCACTCAAGGAGACAAATAAACCTAAGGTGACCCAAGAGGGGGAAGCCCCCGCAACGATGGTGAATATCGATGAAATAAGCAGGGAAAAGTTGAAGGCAAATCGCCGGCCGATAATATCTGCCGAAAAGCCCCAGAAGATTGCACCCACCAACATACCGACATAAACCGCGATGGTGAGCCCGGTGGCATATGATGGGTTGAACTCCAACCTGGCCTGGGTTGAAATAATGGACTGAATCAAAGTGATGAGCGAGTCAACTGCATATCCGAATCCGTTCAGGCAAAATAGCTTCCAGTGGTGTGGTGTGAAACCGATCTCATCAATGGTCTACAGAGGACAAAGGGCCTCGAGTTAGTCGGGTGTCTCATTCATGCACGGTACGAGGATATTGATTTCCCACATCATTGATAATTGTCATCTTGGCAGCAAGAACCTCGTCCACCTTCTCCCCCTGCAAGAGATCTTGGTCTCCATTTCGAATCGATCTTGCCTCCGCCAGCAACGAGTTCGGCAGGTCTTTGTCCTTGCCCGCTGTACTTGCAGAGACAACTGAGTTGGAGGATTGCTGGGCATCCATCTTCAGCGAGGTTGTGGTGTGGACTGAATTTGGCTAGACAAAAGAAAAGACGCGAGATAATGAAGGAAAGCAAACACGGGATTTTGGCGCGACGAGGGGCAGGGACCACTGCTCAGTGGAATTAGTGACAAGCACTAATTTGGCTCAGGTATATTTCTTCATTAGCTTGGATATGGGTCTTATCGAGGTTGATCTCCACAAGATTCGATGTGGCCATGAAGGGTCAGCGCTGACAGCCATGGCAACCTTTATTATCTAAGGCCATATGTACTCTGTGCCACCTTTGTTAGAGGGGACTTTTGATCTCGATATGTTAGAGTTTTACCGGGCATATCTAGACCTATGTTGTATATCCCATATAACAGAGATAGCCTCTCCTCTACGTACTCGGCATACTTCTTATTCTGACCGGGTTAGGCGCAGGTCCACGGGTGCTCCCAAGAAATGCGACCAACTGGTCTATCTCATTGATTGATAGATATTATAGTGGTAAACAATGAGTTCTTGGTAGTGCAATTAAGGTGATTACTCTATCCCACTTCCCGGGCAGAGCGGATTGACTTAGTAGGTAACTACATATTAACTACATATTACTATCTTTGCCGCGTTCCGGCATACAGATCTAGAGGAAATATTTGAAAGTAATAGAATGAGACTACCCGAATTGATTCTCCTTCTAGATAATCATAATGACATATGAAATCTGATTTATGTCGACAAAACCATATTGATCCTAGACAACGATATGAGATATTAAAAAGTTTGGTGGTGAAATGAATTGATCAGTGGAGGAAAATGCTTGATCCGGAAGCTTTGAATAGCCAGTTTGAGTTGTTGGTTTGGCCACGAGAGGTTGGGCTGGCTGTGGTGTACTAGGCATTTGTTTGGTAATGGTGCCAAGGTGGACGATGGCCATACTGGCTGGTCAAGAGGGAAATATCCGTCGTAGATGGTGGCCGCAGTTGATGATCAAGATGGGAAGTATCGTGGTGACGATGGGGGACGGTAAACCCCAAGGACTTTTTGAGTGGTGGCCGTAGTGGGTGGTGGCCGCAGTTGATGATCAAGATGGAAGTATCGTGGTGACGATGGCGGACGGTAAACCCCAAGGACTTTTTGAGTGGTGGCCGTAGTGGATGGTGGCCGCAGTTGATGATCAAGATGGAAGTATCGTGGTGACGATGGCGGACGGTAAACCCCAAGGACTTTTTGAGTGGTGGCCGTAGTGGATGGTGGCCGCAGTTGATGATCAAGATGGAAGTATCGTGGTGACGATAGCGGACGGTAAACCCCAAGGACTTTTTGGGTGGTGGCCGTAGTAGATGGTAGATGGTTGTCAAAGTGGATGGTTGTCAAAGTGGATGGTTGTCAAGGTGGGTTTCAAAGTGGTTGTCAAGATGGATTGTTGTCAAGATGGATTGTTCTCAAAGTGGTTGTTAAGGTGGATGATTGTCAAGGTAGGTGGTTGTCAAGGTAGGTAGTTCTCAAAGTGGTTGTCAAGGTGGATGGTTGTCAAGATAGATTGTTGTCAAGATAGTCATCAAAGTGGATTGTTCTCAAAGTGGTTGTCAAGGTGGATGGTTGTCAAGGTGGATGGTTGTCAAGGTGGATGGTTGTCAAGGTGGATGGTTGTCAAGGTGGATGGTTGTCAAGGTGGATGGTTGTCAAGGTGGATGGTTGTCAAGGTGGATGGTTGTCAAGGTGGATGGTTGTCAAGGTGGATGGTTGTCAAGGTGGATGGTTGTCAAGGTGGATGGTTGTCAAGGTGGATGGTTGTCATAGTGGATGGTTGCCAAGGTGGGTTTCAAAGTGGTTGTCAAGATAGATTGTTGTCAAGATGGTCATCAAAGTGGATTGTTCTCAAAGTGGCTGTCAAGGTAGATGGTTGTCAAGGTGGGTGGTTCTCAGGATAGATGGTTCTCAAGATAGTTGTCAAGGTAGGTTTCAAAGTGGTTCTTAAGATAGTTGTCAAGGTGGATAGTTGTCAAGGTAGGTGGTTGTTAGGATGGATGGTTGTCGGGATGGATGGTTGTCAAGGTGGATGGTTGCGACAGGTCGTTATCAATTGGATAGTGAAGGTTGAGGGGTTTTTTGGTAAACGCAAGGCCATATGAAAGGCCAAGAAAGTTGTTATTGTTGTGGTGGGTGATTGATGGTTGATGGTGGGCGCAGTGGAAGATCGTAGGTATCGAAGGCAAGGTGAATTCGTAAGATGGTGGAAGGTGGCGACTTTTGGAAGACCCATGATGGATGGTGGTTACGGTGGATGGTGGTGGCCATGATGAATGGTTGGTCAAGACAGAAGAAGGTTGGTCAAGACAGATTGTGGTCAAGACAGAAGAAGGTTGGTCAAGACAGAAGGGTGGTCAAGACAGAAGAAGGTTGGTCAAGACGGAAGGGTGGTCAAGACAGATTGTGGTCAAGACAGAAGGTTGGTCAAGACAGAAGAAGGTTGGTCAAGACAGAAGAAGGTTGGTCAAGACGGAAGGGTGGTCAAGACAGATTGTGGTCAAGACAGAAGGTTGGTCAAGACAGAAGAAGGTTGGTCAAGACAGAAGAAGGTTGGTCAAGACGGAAGGGTGGTCAAGACAGATTGTTGTCAAGACAGAAGGTTGGTCAAGACAGAAGAAGGTTGGTCAAGACAGAAGAAGGTTGGTCAAGACAGAAGGCTGGTCAAGACAGATTGTGGTCAAGACAGATTGTGGTCAAGACAGAAGAAGGTTGGTCAAGACAGATTGTGGTCAAGACAGAAGGTGGTCAAGACAGAAGGTGGTCAAGACAGAAGGTGGTCAAGACAGAAGGTGGTCAAGACAGAAGAAGGTTGGTCAAGACAGAAGAAGGTTGGTCAAGACGGAAGGTGGTCAAGACAGAAGAAGGTTGGTCAAGACAGAAGAAGGTTGGTCAAGACAGAAGGCTGGTCAAGACAGATTGTGGTCAAGACAGATTGTGGTCAAGACAGAAGAAGGTTGGTCAAGACAGATTGTGGTCAAGACAGATTGTGGTCAAGACAGAAGGTGGTCAAGACAGAAGGTGGTCAAGACAGAAGGTGGTCAAGACAGAAGGTGGTCAAGACAGAAGGTGGTCAAGACAGAAGGTGGTCAAGACAGAAGGTGGTCAAGACAGAAGAAGGTTGGTCAAGACAGAAGAAGGTTGGTCAAGACGGAAGGTGGTCAAGACAGAAGAAGGTTGGTCAAGACAGAAGAAGGTTGGTCAAGACAGAAGGCTGGTCAAGACAGATTGTGGTCAAGACAGATTGTGGTCAAGACAGAAGAAGGTTGGTCAAGACAGATTGTGGTCAAGACAGAAGGTGGTCAAGACAGAAGGTGGTCAAGACAGAAGGTGGTCAAGACAGAAGGTGGTCAAGACAGAAGGTGGTCAAGACAGAAGGTGGTCAAGACAGAAGGGTGGTCAAGACAGAAGAAGGTTGGTCAAGACGGAAGGTTGGGGTTGGTCAAGACAGATTGTGGTCAAGACAGATTGTGGTCAAGACAGATTGTGGTCAAGACAGATTGTGGTCAAGACAGAAGAAGGTTGGTCAAGACAGAAGGTTGGTCAAGACAGAAGGTTGGTCAAGACAGAAGGTTGGTCAAGACAGACAAGGTGAAGATGTAAAGGCCAGGGGTGTTGTCGTCACCGTCGGTGGTACCACCATCGCATCAGGGCTCCAAGGTTGTTCCTAGGAACCAGTTAGTACACATTGAATTGGGGGAAGGGGGTATATAGTTATCCTGATCAGGGCACTAAGGTTGTTCCTAGGAAACAGTCAGTATACATTGGATTGGGGGAAGGGGGTATATAGTTATCATGGTTTGTTGTCACAATGAATGATAGCCAAGAGGAAGGCTAAGATGGTTGGTGATAGTAGGCATGGCGGAAGCACAGTGGACTGTCATGATGGATGGTCATGATGGATGGTCATGATGGGTGGTCATGATGGGTGGTCATGATGGGTGGTCATGATGAATGTATGATAAGGGGTCAAGGTCATAGTGGATGCTTAAGATGACAAGGCCTAGAGTGCAGAGTCGACGCCATGGATGGTCCTACTATCAGGATGCCTAGAAAAAAAAGTCAGCGTGTCTTCAATCAACAAGAGAAGAGGGGATACTATTGTAGATATCTTATATTCGTGAGGGAAGGTCCTATAAATAAGTAAGCATATGTATTTCAAGGTTAGGGTAGGGAGATATTTATGGTAGGTGGGTCATGGTGACTGGGGACTATGGTGAAAGCTGAGAAATAGCAGAGAGATATGAAGACGGAAGAGAAAAAAAAGAAGAGAGAAGCCGGGGGGGAAGGGGTATTTATACCTTTCCAATGACTATAATGCAAACATTGAATCTGTTCGAATTTTGACAAAATCGATCAAATAGGAAAGAAGAATCTCGCTAAAGCAGCTGCAAACATTGAACCTGTTCGAATTTTGACAAAATCGATTAAATAGGAAAGAAGGACCTCGCTAAAGCAGGTGCAAACATTGAACCTGTTCGAATTTTGACAAAATAGACCAAATAGGAAAGAAGGACCCCGGCAGGCAGGTGACTACTTGCAAACATTGAATGAATCTGTGCGAATTTTGACAAAATCGATCAAATTTCATCTACAAATGGATGTCCCCCTGGCCTGGGAATCCTTGGCCTTTCGAGGTAGACATAGGGTGGCCGAGCGTGAGAATGTCAATGGGCTTATATATTGAAACACCAGTATCTGATCATATGTTAGAATAATCATGCTAAGACTTGCGTAATCCGGGTGAACCCCTTGAGGCTCAGGTCGATCTCACAAATTTGTTTGGGGGCATAACAATGACTTCCGGCAATTAGGTATCCTTTCATTGTCAACATCTGTCATGTCGAGAACTATAAGGGCAGAGGCATCGTCCTTTAATAGTTGCATATGTTCGAGTTTATGTTGTTCTAGCACGTAAGATACCAAGGGATTGCGTCTTAGCACGTAACCGTGAGAAAAGCCCATATCCGTCAGCAAAATACTTTCCAGTCCACTGGTCTTTCCTTGACCTCAGAGATAGGTGCAGGATTTAAAGGAAAATTGCAAATTGCGTGAGTATTGCGCAAGATTACACCGGAGAATCGCCATGTCTGTATGCTAGGGACCCGGTAGATGAACCTATAGAACGTAATCAACATTAGTTTCGGGCTTAATGACTATCTATCTCCTCAATTGTCGCACCCCATAGTGGGATGATTGTAGTATCTCTCACTGACGCGATTAAAAGGTCCGCTGAGGACATACAAAGTATTTCGCTAGTTGTATAAGATCGGTAGAATCTCCTCTAATCCCACCAAAAAGAAAACCTTGTACAGTTATCAATCTGCGCAGTGGGTGTTCCATCACCACACTCCCAAATCACAATGGGAACCACGGGTGATTCTCAACAAGTGACGACTGCCTCGGTGCACAGCATAGATGATGCGGAGAACCAGAGGAACAACGCCCAGAGAAATGATGTTGTAAATCCTGTTAGGTCATGGAAAAGTTATGTATGGGATACATGGGACCTTCCACCGGATCAACGCTGGCTGCTTTTCAAAGTAGATGCTTTCGTTCTCACGTTCGCATCTGTTGGTTATTTCTTGAAGAATATCGACCAAACGAATGTCAACAATGCATTTCTCAGTGGCATGGAAGAGGATCTCGAGATGTTTGGCAATCAACTAGTGACTAGTATGTGCTTTCGCTCTCGTCTAAACCGCTTTTTCCTGTCCTTCTTTTTGTAAAAAAGTCGAGTCGCTTTCTGGCATTCACTAACGAGTGCTACAGGCACGTCTATCTGGACTGTGGGATATGTTATTGGTCAAATTCCGTCCAACTTGTTGTTAACCAGAGTATCCCCTCGATGGGTCATCCCGTCGCTGGAGCTAGGATGGGGACTCGCGACTATTTGCACATCAAGCGTCAAATCGTACAACTCCCTGTATGCTTTGCGCTTCCTTGTCGGACTTTTTGAGTACGTCGATATCCCAAGATTATATTTACTGTGAGTGACCGGTTACTGACTCGGTTATAGATCGGGGTTTTACCCCGGCATCCACTACTTACTGGGATCATGGTACACACCACGAGAAATTGGAAAGCGGGCTATGATCTTCTGGCTTGCCGGTTCAGTTGGCACTTTATTCAGCGGTTTTCTCCAGGCCGCCGCATATACAAACCTGAATGGAACACATGGTTACGCTGGATGTATGTGACCGCAATCCTTCTCACTTTTCCCTCTCAGCTTTTGGTTTCGAGCATTCCTCCCCTTTGCCTCAAGTCAAACGGAAACAAAGGAAACAGCCACTGACTGATGAAAATAGGGCGCTGGCTTTTTATTATTGATGGTATCATTACGCTACCGCTTGCGCTCGCTGGATATGTATTCTTCCCTAACCTACCGCAAAGTGGGAAGAGGACATGGTGGACAACGGAAGAGGAGCATCTTCTGTCAATCAAGAGAATGGATAATATTGGACGTGCTGGCAAGAAGCCCTTGACCAAGGAAAGGGCGAAGGCAATCCTGTTGAGTTGGCATACTTATCTTCTTCGTGAGTTGTCCTCTACCATGCGTCTTTCTCATCCTGGAACTATACTGACGATAACCCATACATAGCATTGCTATACATCATCTGGAACAATGGCTACCTTCAACCTGCTATGGGCTATTGGCTGAAGAGTTTCAATGCCGACCCTCCTCCTGTCCCTGGGAAGAGTTACACCGTTGCACAGATCAATAACTGTGAGTTTGACTTCGGGCCCTTCATCTAATCACAAATAACTAACTCACGCACAAGTACCTCTTCCTACGACCGGTGTTCTCATCGTGATGGCCTTGATTTGGGGTTGGCTGTCCGATGGGCCATGTCGCGGCGCTCGCTGGCCATTTATTTACATCGGTGCCGTTATTACTGTGAGTCAAGAGAGGCTACATCAGTCCAGTTATTTCCATACTACGGTAGCTAACGATTGCCTCTATTCCGCAGCTCATTTTCGCCGTCTTGTTGAAGACTCTACCATTTTACACAAATCTCAAGGGCCGTATGGCTGTTTATTGGCTGAGTAATATTGGCGTAAGTCTGCAATTCCGTGAAGTGTTCAATCGTCACATCTTAACGGTGCTTTTAGGCTGGTGCCGGTCCTTTAATCTTGAGTTGGATCAACGAGATCTGCTCCGATGATACAGAAAAGCGAGCGTTGCTTGTTGCTATGGCTAATGACTTTGCTTATGTTGTACAAGCCGTCGTGAGTCTCTTCTGCTCTTATCCTCTCTCAAGTACAATACTAACTAGCTTGAACAAAGGCACCCAATTTCGTGTGGAAAACCACAGACTTCCCCCAGGCTCCCAAGGGATATACCTGGTCAATCGTACTTCAAGTATTGCTCAGTAAGAAGCTATTCCTTCTCCATTCGAGTCATATTCCCTACTGACAATATCTTTCCAGTCTTATGCACCGCAACAATTCAATTACTTTTGTGGCACGATAAGAAAAAGGCAGCAAAGGCAGAGGCGGGTCTCTCAGTTATTGACCCCCTCGAGTCATCGTCTATAGAGGGAGATACATCGGTAACATCAAGACAGGACAATGGAAAAGCGGCTAGCACTTCTCGAATCAAACAGGTTGGCGAATATTAATTCAAGTCGGCACCCAAAGGCTTGAGATGTTGGGGTTGACAAATCAAAACCGAGTATACCATTCTAGTCGAAAAATCTATGAAAGCTTGGCTGTTGCCCTCCTACTATTTGGACTCACTGAAGAGGTCTAATCGAAAGTTTGCAATAATTTAACTACTAGTATATCACATCCGCAAATATCTCAGACGGATTCAAAAACCTTACGCACCTTGATACATACTGCGGGGTTCTCCCGACATTATATAGACACGCGGTCGATCACCAACTCAAGTTAAATGTAGAAGATTACAGGATGATTTATATAATAAGATAGTCATGTTGTTGCTCCGATCCCGAGTCACGAGTCTGCAGAAGTCAGCTAAGATCAAGTAATCATCCGATAAAGAAGCTAACTCACAAACCACCCCCATGGAATATTGCTGCTGTCATGTTTCGCCTGTCTGCCTCGACCATCCCAAACGGATCTCAGCAGTGAAATTGACACATGGTTACCCACACCACCATGAGCCCGGATATGGTCAAATCGCAGAAGAACATAATGCCGAGCGTACGGGGACAAAGCATCAGCCCCAGCCATAAAGAGCGGCATGACCACCAACTCGATCAGACGACACTCAGCTGGGATTTCCGCTAGCGAGTCCAAGATGGCCGTCACCGAACTTTGTATCATTGGCGCTTCAGCCGGTTGGGTCACATCCAACAAGCGAGATGTATGTAGTATGCATGCGTGACGGAATGCCTCGGCAACTGCAGGCCAGCGGGGATCATCGTTTGGATAGCTGTCGGTTTTTAAATGCCACGAGTAGAGCTCATACCGGTAAGCGTTGAGGAGTCGCTCGTATTCTGGCGTTTCTATCTTGCCCGTCGCATGTGCCTTGGCATGTTCTATGACGTTGCCCATTATCAGGAACATATCGCGCGGACAGCCATTGACGCGCTCGAATTTCAAGTCGCTTAAAGTGGCCACGGCTTCACGGAGCTTGGGGGAGAAGCATAGTCGTCGTGGGTCTGCTAGTGAACGGATGATGTCCAGCCTAGTAGGGTACGCGTCAGCACTGAGTGGTCTAACCCAAGAACGATGGGAGCCCACTTGCCATGCGAGATTTCCTAAGAAAAATATAGTTCGTTCATCCTCTCTGGAAAGGGTATCACATAGGCCCAACTGGTTGCAAATCGATAGGGCACCTGTAATATGAACTCCATGGGTGGAGATGCCCGATTCGAAAATCTTCATTCAGATTCAGCCGTTAGATTCTGTGTCAGGATCGGGTATCAAAATGTAATATTGGTAACCCACATCCTGGAGTAAAAGTATCTGAATAGTAACGAAAATCCCATCGCGTTCATTTTCATCCAGCTCGCCAGATATCCCATTTCGGAGGGTTTCCCCAAGGCAGCGTATAGCTCTAACCCGATATTCAACAGCCAGTGTTTCTCGCAGATATTCATCTTCATTGTTTATTCCTATATGGCATGCAGTAAGACCTAGAACTGCATACAGCAGGCCTATTTGTTCGTAGGCTAGCGGCAAAACATAAACTTGATATGGGTTGTCCGCGCCGGCAGCTGGAAGCGCGATTTGATGTGGACATATGACCTGGTCATCTAAATATCCAGCAGTCAGTCAACGGTTGTTTGTTACCGAGAATAAGGTAAACACACAATGTCTTAGCAGCACCTCCGTCCGTTCTAGCATTAATAAATCGTCCAACTCCACGGCTCGCCCTTCTCGCCGTGGCCAGGGATGGTCGGGGATTGGCAGTGTTGGTTCGATATCCTGGTCCTCGCACAAGGCCAAATTACTTAGATGTTGCTCATCAGATTTTTCATGCCTGCCATCTGGATAATCGGTTTGTTGACTCGTCATAATATTATCACGACTCACAACAGGGACTGCCCTATTCTTCCACTTGCCCCGGGTTGCTAGCCCTGCGAACCGGAACTTATCCGGATATCCTTTGCATTCAAGGCCTTTGCTAATGCATCTTTGGCAAACGGGTTTTGTCCGGTCGCATCTGCGACACTTTTCACGACATGTTATACAAGCCGGGCCTGATGATCGTCAGAGCTGCATCTTCCCGGTGTATGTTGCACAAACCTCCCGGGGGCATATCTTGTCTCACTGGGTGACGAGGTTAGGAGGTTGAAAAAAAGTGTATTCTCCAATTCAGTCGACCTACAATGATGGAGGAGAAAGGAGGATGTGTCAATGGCAAAACGAAGGCCGGGGATAAAGCCACGTGACGATTTCCGTCGTTACTTTGGTGATTGTCGATTTTCCTTTCCTTATATTCCCTTCCTTATATAGTTGGAGATAGCATCTAATGAACTGATATTGTATTTTATACTCCAATAATCTCCTATGTGATGAAACGGTAGAGTGTGGCCTTGTTTATCGGGCCTTCAATAAATGGTGTCCCCTAACCTTGCCACAACAAACAACAAATATCATCTTTCTTTCCTCCTTGTCTCATTGAGACCTATACACATCATCCAGCCTTTCTTAGACCCTCATGGTTCCACTGTAAGTACGTCGTCCCTACGCGCTGTGATTGACTAGCGTGGGCGGCAAGACACTGGGCTTATTGGATCTCGGGAGAGTGCGCCACCAATGGAGGGACAGAGACCTGAGGTGCCCGTTTTTAGCCGCCATATTTCGAACGGTGCTTGCATATAGAAATGTTAGTGTCGTTTCATCATATGCACCTAGCGACACTAAGCACTATCTTTAGGATGCTCTACTCTCAACATGTGAGGCTCGATCGTCTTGGGCTCCTGTTTCTTGGGATCTACGATTCAATTTGAGACCCCAAGAGACTCCGGTGTTTAAGAATCAGCCATGCAGATCCGAGTCTGTTGTGAGATGGTAGGCCCATGCGTTATAAAGCTCCTCAAAGCCCTTGACGCACTGATTCTTAGTTGGGCTGACTCTAAATACCCAAAGCATCTCTGTCCCGTGGGAATCTAAGCGCTCCCTTTCTCTTCTACTATTATAATACAGCTCTAATATACCTCTATCTGAGGGTCTCCTTGTATCATGCGACGAAGCCCATATACACATGAGCCCAAACCTTTATTGGTGTCATCGAAAAGCACTGAAGACCATGACGAGCAACCACCATCTAACTCCTGGATCGAGCATCTTCTATTTGTCCTCCTCATTATCCCTTTGACGTTAAGCATTCTTCTGGTATACAGCGATGCCTCCAGCTGGCTCCTTCCAGACAACCTATACGCTTTTGTGAATACCAATCGAACATCAGTCCAGACAGGAGTCCAGATTTTCGGTGCTATCCTGGCAGCTATCGAGGTCTTTGCACTTTGTCGCCTGATCAACTTGACAACTCGTATTCGATTTACACAAAGTCCAGTCTCCCTGAACGTGCTTGAGTTCTGGTCAGCAGTGTCAACTCCTACGAACAACTTCTCTCTACCTTTCTGGATGATTGTCATCACGGTGCTTTTCGGAAATCTATCTGCTATCATATCAGCACTATGGACTGGTGCATTGACACCGGCAGATGCAATCGGCACCCAAAACTCTTCCCTTTTCATTCCAGATTGGTCCAATATAAGCTTAATCAAAGAATACCCCGCCCAGATCGACAAGACAGGGTTGTCAATTCGCGAGACAAAGGGTTACTTCACCTACTCAGTAGGCATGGCGTTACTAGGCTCACTTCTATCCTCTATGAACTCCGCCTCCCCAATCCACGGCGGCGTTCGCAATCACCCCAAATTAGACAACACCCGATACAATTATCACGGCCGGTCTTATGGGGTTGGAGCAAGTGCCGGCCTCTCGGACGACAATCTCGTCGCCATACCGTACGCGAGGAACTACACCTTCACGGAAACAGGCCTCGATGCCTCCGTCGACTGCATACGCAATACAAGCTCGATGTTCGTAATCCAACTCCTTCCACAAACCACTCTCCACGCTGCTCGCGGCTTCCTCCCCGATAGCAACCTCAGCGCACCCGAATACTCGATCTACATTGGTCGAGGGAACGAGGCAATAGTTGCGCTGGGGGTAGCAGCGAATCCCACCGAGCACAGCGCAAAGCGGTACATGGCCATTGCCTCGGGGAATTACTACGAGAATCTGAATCAGGTGCAGTGTGCCGTCACATTCACGCCGACAATATTCAATGTCTCAGTCGATATCCAAGAACGGAACATCACCGTTCACAAAATCAGGTCTGGATCATCAGCGGGGCCGGTCCATGATATCGATCCCCATCACAATATAACCCATGTCGTCATGCGACAACTCGAACTCATCTCCAATGATCTGACTAGTTACTATCGCTCGACATTTGGCGACGCCTTCAACGGTAGCATTAGTGATTACCGTACTTCCGTGGCTGGTGGGAATCTATCGGAAACACAGATTGTGATGAAGGGAATGGAGAACGCTGTTACATCCTTGGTCGATGATATGTTGGTTGCGTATGCCTCGGCGCAATTGGTGGTCAGTGAATTCCGGAAACCCACACCTGTAGTGGTTCAGGTCGCTGCTCTCCGAGTCGGATCGCGGGAGTATGTCATTACCAGTGCGGTGATTACGGGGTTGATTGCACTTCTGGTTATTGGGGAGGGTATTCGAATGCGATGGTGGAAGGATCTTCCGTCTTTTGATTATCAGGATAACCGAGCTTTGGTTCTCGGTGCGTCTAGGGGTGGAAAGGGCATTGCGGAGTATGTTGAGCAGGTGAAATGTAAGGATCTTGGTAGAGTTCCGGTGATTTGGAGAAAGAGCGAGGAATCATGGCATCATGGGGAAATTGTTTTCCAACCTATGCTGGATGAGCCGGAAGATGATATTGAGAATACAGGATTAGAAAGGACTTCAGTCGCTTGGATATGAATATCAGTTGACGATAATGGTGTGGTGCGATGTATATAGCGAGTTGACTTTACATAAAAAGAATATGAATATCAGAGAGCTATGTGAGATACAGGTTGCTCATACCAAATGAGGACTCAACACCTGAGTGTCTAAGAATAAGAATTGATATCCAAGCACGTGAGAAAAGACCAGGAGTTTGCCTTTAAAAGAGTGAAGTTCTACCCTTCTACCCTTCTCTTCCAACTCCACCCTCTCTACAAGTACGGCTGGCCCTCCTACCAGCCATACTCACCATCTTGGACTTCTTATCCAACATAACATCCTTGGATATCCAATCCATAACCACGAAGGAATTTGATGGATTCAACTTCCCGAGCCTTTGAGCACAAATTTCACTATCTCAAAAACCACCAAATCCACAGCATAGCTCCTGCAAAGAGCCTTCCAAGGCTGCGGTCCGGGTAAAAGGGTTCTAACACCAACGATAAGGAGTCCATACTGACCCTTCTCAACAATGTGAAGGTTAGTTTACTTGATACATAACTAAAGGCTAGACCATAGTTAGATTATACTAACGAAGACCTCACTATAGGTTGATCATGAGACAGCCGTCAAATCTCTCGGAATCTCAAAGGCCGCATGTCATACGTGATTCATTCGCGTCCAACAAAAGTATGGGTTGAAGAAGGGGAGTAGCGCCTAGAAACCCACACCGTGAACAAACACCCACCATGGTCGACGCCGAGATGGAGAACATATTCTCACCCTCTTGAACCAATATCTACTATACTGAAATCTACTGAAATCTACAATACCAACAAGACAAAGACTTTCAAATGTCTATGTTGTAAATTAAAAATAACTGCGAGGTAAAAATGTATGTACTGGACCTCAACGACAAGTAAAGTGAAGTAAAGGGGCAACTCACACGTATGCAACGAGACTGGGATATGGAACGCGAAAAACCAAACTGCCAACGATATGAGTCGGGGTATCTTGGAACTGACGGTCGACTGTGCAACAGACCGAACAGCGAACAAAAAAATGAAAGAGAGAGCACGAAAATGAACCAAAAAATCAAACCAACGCCTTGCGATGCCCGAGGGAATCGTATGATAAGTGAAGGACAGATGCAATCGCTATGAGAGAAAAGAGGGTGAACGAAAAAAAAAAAATCACAGCAGAAGGAAAGGAAAGAAAGACAAGGTCCCGTCATACATACAAATCAAGTCTTCAATGTCGAATCTTCAATCTTGAATCTTGAATCATTTGAGCTGGCCCTTGCGCACAGCACCATAGCCCTTACTAAAGAGTTCCTGGATCTCAACAGAGCGTCGACGCCCAATAGCGTCTTCGGGACAAAGGAGCCCAGACTGGCGACCTCGGTCCGTCTCAGCATTGCGACTCGGCGCACTGCTGTTGTGACTAGCCGTGGCGCTGACGTTGGCGCTAGTAACCCCACCGACCTCGAGTTCCCTGGTATCAGGCTTGGTATCCATGACGCGGGGGCGGGCGAGCAGCTCGCGGACCTGGCGTTCGCGGGCGTCCATCTCAGCCTGCTCGGCGTTATCGCGGGCGATCTCGAAGCTTGATCTCTTGGTACCGTGGTCCCAGCCCTGCTGGAGTTCCGATGCGGCTGCTTCTTCGAAGCGCTTGCGGATTTCGAGATCTTGTTCGTATTCTTGGAAGAGGTCGACGTCTGTTGGGAAGAAGAGGGCGCGGAGGGTTGAGACGGCGAATTCGAAGAGGAGGACTGCTGAGACGGAGAGAAGGAGGACGGTCCAGAAGAGGAGGTTGTGGCCGGAGTGGTGGATGAAGTTGGAGGGGAGGAAGTAGATGCCTTTGCCGGAGGACATTGTGTATTCGCGATCGAGGATTAGATCCCACATGAACCAGCCGCCGACGGAGATTATTATTACGATAAGCGACATGTAGGTCTTGTTGTGGACTTCCAGGGCTTGGAGTTTGACGTTGATGACGATGATGCAGGCGGAGAAGGTGAGTAGGCCCAGGGAGAAGATGTCATTGTCGCTCGGGTTGATTCTTGCGAGGCCAAAGAGACTCCACATAGTGAAGAAGATTATCACTGCCTCACAGGTCGCCATGAATGACCAGCCCAGGTAGAGCCGGATATTGAAGCCGCCGTGCTTTTGACCCTTGGTGTAGAGCTCGGGGACAGCTAGTAGTGTCGATGCTGAGAGGTCTTTGGTGAAGATACCCAGGAAAATGACAGCGAGTGAGGTGAACAGCGTGTTGAACATACTCAGACTCCACGGCTCATACAAACTGGTGCCCGTGTAGCCATTCCAGCGCTGGTATAACGCTTGAGTCAGGTAGAACAGCATTTCCTTCCAGAATGTGCCGAGTGTGTACTTGCAAGCACGCATATAGTTCCACCGGCCGTGCACCAGAAGCAGCTTGAGAAGGAAGCGGAACTGCGCGATCGAGTAGTCCGAGATACGTGCTGCTTGCAATCCCTCCTTTCCAGTGATTCCGATGCCCACATGGGCCTCCTGGATCATAGCGATATCGTTGGCGCCATCTCCAATGGCAAGCGTGATCGCATCGGTAAGTTGTTTGCGGATTGATCGCACCAAGAACGCCTTTTGCTTTGGGCTCGCTCGGCAACAAATGACCGAGTCTGCCTTAACAGCCAGCTGGAAGAACTGTACGCGCACCACCTCATTCGCTTCGATCAACGACAGCGTCTGGCCATCAACCACAACCACAGAATGTGCCACACGGCCACGGGTAATCTCCTCGATAAGATGCGTTATCGTTTCCTCGACGTCGCCAGTCTCTTGGTCCAAAATAGTAAGTGTCGAGTACTCCTTGACAAGACGACACGAGTGGCCGACATTGATCGCAGTCTCCCGCTTATCACCAGTCAACATCCACATCTTGATATTGGCTCGTCGCAATTTGTCAATAGCCTCCGGCACGCCCTTCTGCAGCTTATCCTCAATAGCAGTAGCGCCAGTAAGTTCCAACTGCTGCTCAATCTGCTCACCGGCGTCCTCGATCTTCTGCTGTCGATCAACGAGGCTAGTGCAAGCCTCGTGGTAGGCAGTTTTCCAAGTCGTGTAGGTCGCTTCATCCAAAAACCGATGGCCATACAACAAAGTCCGCAGGCCATCAGTGGCAAAGTCGTTCAGATGCTGGAAGCAGCGCTCGAAAATAGCCGCGTCGTTGACAACTAGTGCCTCCTCCACGAGATCCTCATCGTCTTCGCCATGCGTGGAGCTTCCAGAGTCCGAGATCGCACCCGAAGGTCTACTCATCTGCGCTGAAGGCCGAGGGCTGTAGTACTCACTATCACCCTCTCTGTTCCGGATACCACCATCCGTCTCCCGGTCGCGCAGCCAAACATCGATACTGGCTCGAAGAGCCGAACCCTGTTGGCCAGTAATGGACGAGCGTCGATGGCTAAAGCTAGGCCGGGTCATACTGCTCCGAACAACACTATTTTTCCGGCTGTGGTGTTCACTGTTACGTTGAATGACCTGGTTCGCCTCGGCATTCTTGCGCCTGCTGGCTCGACGCTCGATTTCATTCGCCTTCTCGCGTGCCAGATCGGCCTGCTTGAGGAGACGCATGAGTGTGGTATCGGCACCTTTGCAGAATAGGCAAATGCGCTGGTCAGGCATGCGAACAACAACGGACATGCGCTTTCGTGCACTTGAGAACTCGATCACATCCATGACCTCGTAGACTTCGTCGGTGGTGGCTCCGTCCAGTCCGTTCGGTTGTGTGCGGATGGTCAACGTGTTTGATTGACGATCCACGACCAGATATCCGAGTTCCTGCGCTGCAAGAACAAGAGCTAACTCGTCCGGGGAGGCAGCCTGGAAAGTGGTGTTTCCGTTCGCGTCTTCTTCGGGAATACAAGTGTGACACAGAGCCATAGACAGAATGAACAGTTTCGCCTTGCGGGCAAAGATGGTGTACGGCTTGCGCTGAATATATTCGAGCATCTCTTCGGTGCGGTATGTAGTAGCCGAGCGCCCAGACTGACGTAGGGCATCAAGAGGCCCAGAAACATTCGATGGGCGGGGCATCTGAGCCTCGGAAACATTGGACTTGCGGCCCATTGCCTTCTTCCCCTTTGTGCTCCGTTTCTTGTGGATCAATTTGGTATGGTCGCCTGCACGAGCAGCCTCCTCCTGGAGGTCGGCGTCATGTAACCACGCAGTTCCAGCCACACTCATCTTGCGGAAGCGCATAGAGTTATTTGTAAGCGTGCCGGTCTTATCGGAGAAGATGTAGCTGACTTGACCGAGCTCTTCGTTAATAGTGGAGGTGCGCGCCTCGAGCGGGGTGTCGGTTTCGGGGTCGTACATGTCGATATCGTTTAGAAGCAGCATCTGGGCAACTTTAACGATTTCCATACTCACGTATAAGGAGATGGGAATCAGGGTGTTGAACATAATCAGGAACGAAGTGAAAATCGGGCCATAGGAAACGCTAGCGTTTTCAAGATACCAAGAATGTTGCTCCACGTCCTGAGACCAGAACTTGTAGGCCACGGTGCAGACAACCGCTAGGATAACGACCAACACCACGATCAGCATTACCACGCGGTTGACCTTCTCCTGGAGAGCGGGCCTCTTGATTCGCGGGTTCTTGTTGGCGTTCATGCGGATCTTGCACTCCTCGCCAGTGTATATCACCATACCCAGAGCACGATCAGTGTTGCGGAGGATGCTGCCACGGTAAACAATCTCGTTGTTGGTCAAAGGAAGTTTCTCCTGGCCATTGACGGTGACGTGACCGTCAAACTTATAGAGATCCAAATTGGGGTCCTCAACAACAAAGTGCAAGGAGTTGCTGTTGATGTCCTCCACAGTCGAGCACACCTTGGACACAGGCTGGCAAGCCTGTTTATTTTTCAAATTTGTCTCTCCGTCGAGAGCCATAGTCTCAATATAAGCGACGCCGTTAGGTCCGTTGGCGTGGAGGAGAGCAATATCAGCAGGAATCGGCTGGTCGCGCACAAGTTTAATAACGTCGCCGACACGAATCTCCTCGCACTTGATCCGCTCCCAATCTTGGGCGTTGCTTATCATGGAGGCACCGTCCTGAACCGTCCCGTGGCCTGGGCGGAGCACCCAGGCATCCCGATTATTCTCTTCCTTGTCCAAGCGATACCGGCGCCAATCATCAAATCCTTCCTTTCCCATTGAGATACCAACGAAGATTAACAGCGGAACGATGGTTGTGTATGTTCCAGTTGTACTCAGGCCAGGGATCATCTGCAGGATGGCGACAATCAAGAAGTAGAAGTTGGCGACTTTGGTGAACTGGGCGAAGAATTGACGGGGGAAGAAACTCCAGAGACTGTAACGACTTGAACGAATGAAGTTACCGATATAAGGCTTCCCTGTGCGTTCATCAATCATGGAACCCACCATAGACGGATTTAAGTCAATGTGGCGCCCATCCTGAGTAGGAGGAATGTCCTTGATGCGCAGAATGAATTTCTGGATAGAGGTCATAACAGCCTGGAAACGTGCGACAGCCACTGCAGTGGTCGCCTTTTTCCGGAGCCACTTCTCCTGGGCCACAGACACGGAGAACTGCTCCTTAAGACCCTTCTCCGAAGGATCAGAAGAGACATAGGGGGAAGCATCCTCCCTATGGGTCGAGTCGAGCGTCGCAGTCGGGGCGACACTCAGAGAATGCTTCTCATCGACGGCAGTGAGCGTCTCAGCAGCCGGGGCCTGGGCGGGAGTCACATTAGACGAGGGCTCCTTGGCCTCACCCAGCTCAGCCAGGGCGAGATTATCGTTCTCCGTCGAGTTGATGGTCTTATTAAATATGCTGCGACGGAGCGAGTATCCACGATTTCGCGATCGAGACCGACCGGCGGACTCAGGACTCGGCGGGGGAATGGGGGAGAGGGTCGCATTTTGGGTGGCACTGGGAGGCGAGAGCGGAGAGGTGGGTGAGGGAACGGGTCGAACTGGAGGCGCCAGCGCTGTGTCGACGGTCAGGGCGCGGGAACTGGGGCGTCGGTCCGAGTTTGTCTGTCGCTGTTCCTCGGCCGGCTGGCGATCGAGATCGGTTGAGAAGCGCACATGTTGGGAGGAGATGCGCCGCTCGGAGTCGGAGAGGGTTCGAGACACAAGAGAAGGGCGTCGGAGGATATCGTTCTGGTCGGGTTGGGTGCCCTCCGTAGGTTCTGTTGGTTTGTCGTTGGACATGACGGCCGTCGAATTCCAGTCGAATTCCTGGCACGAATGCGCGGGACCGACGATCTCGGTACTTTTTTTTTTTGTCCTCCGATGTTGCTAGATCGTTCCTTTACTAGCTTTCCCCCTCAGAGTAAAATTCAAGTCTTCGATTGAATGCACTGATCAGAGAGTCATTCTTCTGCTGTTCTTTTTAGCGGGGGAGACGAGTTCCCCTGTCGTAAAATGAAGGTGTTGCGAGGGTTGAGCAAACGAAGGTAATCCCGTCGGACGCAAGGATAGAAAGGAAGGGCGTAATGATCGTGTCCTATACGGAGTAGAGAAGACAAAGAAAAGAGGCCAAGAGACTAAGAGACTAAGAGACTAAGAGAGTAAGAAGCTGACAGACTTGGACTAAAAAAACCCGAGAGAGCAATAGCCAAGACCAAGTGAGGAAATGGCGAACCCAAAACGGCCTAGTGGTTCAACTCATATCCAGAAGGCGTACTCCGTACGTACAAGATCTACAAGAATATCTGAAGAGACAATATGATAGGCAGACATATTCTAACAAAACTGGAGTTAAGTGGACATTGGAACATCCCTAAATGTTCCAAAACGTCTTAAGACCCTCCCAATCCCCAAAACCGTTCATGGTACGGAGTACTCCGTACAAGTGTTGGGTAAACGCGTAAGATGCAAACGCTTACGCCTGAGCACAGCCCCATCTCCCAGACTTAAATTAAGAATCGTCGAATCAAATGCGATGGTTCCTCGCTGCATTGGGGCGACATACGAAGGGCCCCGCTAGATCCAGATCGGTCTTCTTTCTTATTGGTTGGTCTCACATTCATTGGACCCTGCAGCCCTATTGCAGATGAAAAATGGAAATGGAAGTACAAAGTACAGCATACATACAACATACAACACATGTTGTAGTAACATGTTCCCCTCTTTTTAAATAGTTAATTACTACTACACTTACTTACTTACTACTATATATGTAATATAAGCCATGTACAACTTGGACTGATTCGGAGGGTTGCCTTCCAAGGTTGGCCTAAAACACAAAAAAAGTTAAAACCCGTCAGCCGAAAAAAAGGCGTCCAGTTTTGAAAAGATAAAAGATAAAAATAATATTGCATATAAAAGTTCCACGGTTGGGTTCAGTTGATTCATGGAAAGTACCCCCAACCACAACCTTCCCCTCAAAGCCTCAAGGCGAATGACATCACATCCCCTCAATAGCGTGGCTGTCCACCATACTGGTAACCAGGCCCAGGCTGCGATCCATACCCCTGTTGCTGACCATAGCCACGCGATCCCTGGTAAGGAGGTTGCTGGGGAGGCTGCTGGGGAGGCTGTTGCTGTTGGTATTGACCCTGTTGACCCTGCGGTGGGTAACCCGACTGGGAACCATACGAAGTCGGTGGGGCACCAGGGGGCGGACCATACGGAGGCTGAGCTGGACCCTGGGGTGGAGGTGGGCCATATCCTCCTCCTCCTCCGTACTGGCTGATCGATGCAGGTGGAGGTGCATTTCGACGTTCGTTGTCTCGCTCATCCTTGGTATCGTAGGAGGAATCAATAGCACCAAGCATCAGTTTGGCACACTACGTAGACAGTCAGTTCAATACTAGGCAATGATCAACATAATGAATCACTTACCCAAAGCTCCCGAGTGAGATGCACTGGTGGGTTAGCACGGGACATCTCATCCTGCTCAACCTCGAAGTCTAGACCATCGCGTTAGTTAGGATCCACCATGGATTCCACGTGGAACTTACTGGAGGTACAGTCGATCAGGTGGCCAATATGAGGGTCCTCGTCCAGAGAGCCCAAAAAGTCACGAGCCCGCTGATCAGTTCCCACCTGCGAGAACTGGAAGGATACGGAGCCGGGTCCATAACGGGTCCGAGACGTCTCCTCCACCGCGTAACGAATGACATCACCCACAGCACCGTGAGGTTCGCCAGCAGGCTGTCCGTCGGTGATAGTGATCACCAGCACGGGCTTCTCGAGACGGTTGGCCCGGGCGGGTTGAACAATCATCGGGTCAACGACCTTACTCTTCAGGCTGGTGCCCAGGGGGGTCAGGCCCGAGAAACGGACTCGGGACACTAGACGGTTGACATCCTCTGCGTCGCGGATGCCGTCGCCCACCTCACTGGAGTTCATGAATCGGACAGAAATACCGTCTTGGTCGAAGGTAGATGCAGCAGTAGCCACGATACCCAGGATCTGTCTGAGTTGATCCTTTCGGAGACCCTTCTCTTCGAATTCAATGGATCCACTGTCATCGACGTAGAGAATCACGTCGAACAGCGAGAGCTTCATGACATCGGTCGCAACCTCCATGGGCACAGCCCATTCATGAATCAGTCTGTTGAGCTTGCCCGGTGCTTCAGCGGCAAGCGTCTGAACAAGCCGGTCCAGTCGCTCCGGGGGGTAGAAGCTTTGAATATTCTTCTCCTGGATCGTGGAAATCAAGAGCGATCGGTAAGCTGCGACTTGCTGCTGGGTAGCCGGGGGAGCTGCAGACGGAGGGCCGCCACCGGGTGCACCATACTGGCCTGGTGGTGGTCCTGGTGGGGGGTCCTGGTGGGGGTCCAGGACGACCTTGGCCACCGGGGTATGGAGCTCCCTGGATAGGGTAAGGGGGTGCCTGGTTCTATTTCCCGTTAGCATTCTTCTCCGGCCATAAAATATTCAACAAAAATTCGACGTAAGATCACGAAATACAGAAACAGGCAGTGGTGCAGGGCAAGGGGTATTCTGTACATATGAGGGCTGCTGTCCGGGGTATTGTTGTTGTCCGGGGTATTGCTGTTGTCCAGGGTATTGCTGTTGTCCGGGATAAGGCGACTGTGGAGGTTGCTGTTGACCCGGATAGGGCGACTGTGGAGGTTGCTGTTGACCCGGATAGGGTGACTGTGCAGACTGTCGTCCTGGATAGGGCGAGCTAGGAGACGCATAGGGCGGCCCCGGTTGCTGGCCGGGATAAGGCGAACTAGCGGATGCATAGGGCTGGCCTTGTGGTGGGGGTGGAGGCGGGCGGCCATAGCCCTGAGATTGCTGAGGTTGCTGAGAAGCGGGGTAAGGCGTGGATGGCGGAGGTCGGGAATAGGGAGCTGATGGATTCTGTTGAGATGAGCCGCCGTATGGATAGCCTTGGTAAGGTGCCGACATGGTTCCAGAATAATGATGACCGTGGAGGGGTAAATCGTGGAAGTGGGGGGAAAAAACCACGAAAAGCAAAAAGAAGTTAAGAAAAAATATGGCTTACCGATCCCTGGGGGGCTGGGGATCCTGAATAAGCCTGATATTGGGGCTGTTGACTCTTGAGAACATGTTAACACTTTTCCTCTTTTTTAATTTTTTTTTTTACTATGACGTCGAACTACGAGTCATAGCAGAAACAGGTGCAGAGATGGGACATATGACTTACCGATCCACCAGCCTGCAAGGCTGCAGGAGGACCCCCAGTGTATCCCGATGGAGGGGCACCTCCATATGAGCCATTGTTCGCCATGTTCTGGCTATTCTGAGCTGCGGCGATTTTCTGAGCGAACTAGAGGTGATGGGTCAGATTGAGGGGTTCCCTAAGAGTTGTGGAAAGAGGAATCTAGAAGACTTACACCCATGTTAAACTGGATGGAGAAAAGGAGAAAAAAGGTAAGACACAAGAAGTTTGAGTATCACGAGAGAATTCCACAGTTTCGATGACGTTGGCTGATGTGGATAGCCCCTCTCCAGTTGGCCAAGTGAGGCTGAGCTGTTGTATATGTTGGGTACTTGAGAATACTCCACCCCACACGTGTCCTTACGAGCACACAAAGTATCTTGAAGTACTTTCAATGAAATCACCGTGTCCATATATTCACTAATTATTTCATACCTCCAAGGGTTTACTCAGTGAACGGTCGACTAGAAAAACTAGCTAAAATCGAACATATACAGGCATCTAAGCTCGGATTTCACCGATACACTATATCTCCCTCATATTTCACGGAGTAAATGCGCGATGATCATGTCCAGATATACTCCAGCACGGGGTGTGATGGCCTCAACTCCCTCCAATTTCGCCGCATCATCCCACAATCGAAGTGAAACCATATCGTCTCGAAGTGGATCTTCCTCGAAGGTTTTGAGGTCCGCATCTCGGAAGGGGCCACCTTGAAAGGCCAACGATTTCTGTGAGGCAGATGATAGAGATTCGTAGTATCCTCGGTCAGTAGCAGTCAGGTACCTAAAAGGTGAGACTATGTTCGCAAAAGACAGGAGAAAGATCACATACCGTTTGGCTGCAACATGACTATTTACCAAGCGACACACTGTCTCGCTGAATCGAAGAGCTCGAAGATATGATGCCCCGATAGCTTCATGGCCGACCCGGCCGACATTTTCCGTACTTTGGCGAATATTCATACGAACCTCCTTGGTGGATTCTAGCGGAATAATTTGACCAATGTCGTGTAATAAAGCCGCAATTACCAACTCATCATGAGCATCTAGCAGAATGTTAGTGACTATGAGAGATCTTGAGAACAATACGTACCCGCTTTATGGGCCTGATGAGCCGCCTGCAGACAGTGTTCTAACTGGCTAATCGACTCCCCGATGTAGTCACCTTGGCCATACTTTTCTAGAGCCCTGATCAGGGCCTCTGCCTTTTCCCTTGGGTGACTGCTGATTCATGATGCAATTGGATTGAATAGTAACATCGTTGAAAAGGACCAAGACCCAGGCAAACAAAAAAAAGATGAAAAAGAGAGGTGAAAGGAAGCATTTATATACGCTAGAGCCATTTCGTTACATTTCCGGCCCAGTTAGAGGGTATACTAAAACGGGAGCTCGCACTTTGTAGATAGATCGAGAAGTAAGTCGCCGCACTGGAAGTCCTTAGGTCGACAGTCGCCCTTCGCACCGAGATGAGTGTTTTTTGGAGATGAAATATAGATCCCATGTAAAATGCACAAGCACATGAGTAGATGATAATCTCCGCTAGGCTTAACCTTCAGGTAATAGCTCTGTTATATACTTGGGTATGCCCGGGGGAGCTCAGACCCCTAACTACTTAAGTACTACATACCCACAGGCAGATCTCGCACTTCCCACCGAGACTATCGTGTCTTGATTCTTAGTTGTCATTGGCCTCCATTAGGAGTAATTCATTATTAAAGCCATCGAGGACACTTCTATAGATATGAATGTCTTCCCACTGCCACTGGTAACATGTCCGCATTAACTTATTCAGTATCCTTGTCAATATGGCTACATCTCCCAGTGACTCTGTCATGAAAAAGAAAGATCCCAAGGAGCAAGTCTTACCACCCAACTGGGACATTGAGCAACGAGAACCCGAGAAGAAACGCTCGGGTGTGCTCAATGTAGTGGTTTCCGGATTGGCCCTGTTCAGTGATGGATACAACGCTCAAATCAGTACGTGTTAATCTATCCTTCCAAATGTCCTCATTCTCTCCTATATACTAACCGCGTGATAGTTGGCTATATGGAGCCTTTGTTCTCGGTCCTGTGAGTAGCCCAGTTTCCGAAATAATTCTGCCTGTATTCACTGATCACTGATGAGTCCAGCTACATGGACGGAATGTCTTCGACTATAAAGTCGCGCCTGTCGAACTCATATCTCATCGGTGAGATATATGGCATGCTTTTCTTTGGCGTCCTAATTGACCGCATTGGTCGTCGGACTGGCATTGTCGCCGCAATGGCGTTTCTCATTATTGGAGTGGTGTTGGCAACTGCGTCTCATGGTAAATCGCAACTAGGGTATGTCTCGAGAACTAGAGACAGAGGATGCCAAGTTCAAAGCATATTTAGAAGAGAATGGGTATGATGTGAGTTTGTATGGCGAGGCATTGGTCGTCAACGCCCGGGCTTCGACTTAGCCTGGCAGACAAACAAAATATAGATTTCAGTATCCTTGGAATACCTATATATAGTAGTTCTATTTACTATACAAAATGGTTCTACTACTTCGCCCAAAGTAGTTCTTCAGGGCTACGACCCACATCCCCCACTTTTATAGAACGGAAGCCGCCGTGGATAATTCTTTTGTTTCTTACATTCCATGTTCTTATAGACCTACCTAGGTACGGATGGGCATAATAAGTTTGCTATTTGGGTATTGGATCCAATCTGGGTCAAATTCAGACTTAACCCATGAAATATGGCCTTGCATGACTGAGTTGGCAATGATGTCACATATTTGGTATGCTCCGTCTCTTGAAATGGTAACACACCTACACCTCACATCCTCTTCTCTTTATTTTATCCCAAGTTTTGTCAAGCATCAAGCATCGTTCTTACACTAATTTTCGTGCTTTGTTCACTTTCACATTCCCAACTCCCTAGTCACTGAGTTGCCTATATATCATTCAGCTTCATCTATAACAAAAGCCCCCCGTCATATTTAAGCTTCCCTCTCTCTCTACCCATCCAATCTACAGCTTCCTAATTTCTAAATTCTCCGCCAACATGTCCACCCCTGTCCTCCGCCTCGGTATCCTAGGCGCCACAAACGCTGTCCAAGCCACCTACCTCCCAGTCCTCCGTTCTCTCCAAACACACTACACTCTAACAGCCATCTACGACCCCAACCCCGAAATCGCAAACCAATGCCAAGCACACTTCGGTATTACACACAGCACAACAGTCGTCGAAGATGTCCTACTCCATAAAGAAGTGGACGTCATCCTCAACCTCCTTCCAATGGAGTACCACGAGCAATACACCGTAACAGCCCTCGAAGCCGGCAAAGACATAATGGTCGAAGTGCCACTCACAATGAGCATCTCAAGCCTGCGCCGCATGCGCGAAGCAATCAAAAAAGGCAAAGCCACCCGCTCCCTCAACAGCACCAGCGAAACAAACAGCCCAAAAGTATTCGTCGGATGTGCCCGCCGCTACGCACCCTGCTTCACAGAAGTCTTCAAGAAAGAACTCGCCGCCCTAGGCCGCGTGTACTACGCCCGCTGTCGAAACATCGCCGGCCCAATGAATATAGACAACAGCGTGGCGCGCGCATCGAAGGACATCACGCCGCCAATGAAAAGCAACAATAACCCAGAGCAGTTCCGCGCGCTGCTGGAAGACGTCTTCGGCTCAGAGGAAGACCTCACCCCGGACAGAGTCGCTTTCTGTCGCTACCTCGGTATGATCGGCTGTCATGATCTGTCGGTGATGCGCGAGTCGTTGGGATTCCCGGATGGGGTTTCTAACGTCGCTATCACGGAGCCGTTCTATTCTGCTATCTTCCATTATACGAACTCCGCTGTGAATGACGGGTGTCCGTTCACGCTTCTCTATGAGGCTGGCGTTGATGCTGTGCCTCGCTGCGATGCACATTTGACTGTCTACGGTGCGCACAAGACGCTCAGTCTGGAGTATGACTTCCCGCGTCCTGGTGAGAAGATCAGTACTGGGACTTATGTGCGGGTTGTTGTTGAGGAAGCGGATGGGACGATGGAGACGGATTATGTTAATCGCAATCAGATCAACGAGACTGGGAATGTCGTTCCTCGTCCTCGGATCAAGCGCACGGAGACAGTTAGTACCTGTGACGAGGCGTATGAGCGTGAATTCTTGGCTCTACATTCTTATCTGGTTGGCGGTGGTTCGGCGGCGAAAACAACTGCCGACGACGCTTTCATGGATCTGCGTCTGCTGCTTATGATCTTTGACCACTATAACCGCCAATGTGGTACCATTCGGACTCCGTTGGGTTGAGCGTCGATTTTCTCAACAGGCAGTATGAAAGGGGGTATCTGTCCAGTGTTATTTTTCGTTGCTTTTAGCTGGTTCTACGGGGGTCATTGGCCCCGGGTTATGGGATAATCGGAGTCTTAGGGATTGGGAATAGCTAGTGGGTATTCATTTTACTGCCCCTTTCAGGTTTAAGGCGACCTTCCATATGAAATATAAGATATAGTTATATACCTGTGTTCCATGTATCGTAGGTAGCATTCAAGCTATGATTTCTATCTGTCTGGAATTACACTATCGCTTGCCCTTCTTCTTATTCTTCTTAGCATTAGGGCCACCACCGCCACCGCCGGACTTTTGCTGCTGCTGAGCGGGGGATTCTTCTGCCTTCTCACTGACAGGGCCGCCCTGTGTGAGTGCCGCGGCACGCTGCTTACCCTTCTTGCCCTTGGGCCTGTAAGAAGAGCGGTCACGCACAGGCAGCCAGCGCTCGGGGTCCGGCTTCTTGGCGGGGTCGAAGTCCTTGGGCAGACGGGACTTGCAAATACGCTTGTTGGCGCGGTCGTCGGCGTTAGCTGCGGTGCGCTTGCGGGCACCAGCAAAGGCAACAGCAGCCGCGGCAACCGAGGAGGCAGAGGGCGAGATGCCAGCTGATTCCAGAGCTGAGACGTCGATGTCGGCGATCAGGTCGCTGACTGCGGGCAGGCGGTCGAGTTCGGACTCAATCTGCGCATAGTCCAGAGTGGCTTGTGAGGCGACATAGCCGGCGATGGCGATGCGGTCGTTAGGGTCTTGCTGGTGTAGAGCACGGAACAAATCACCCGCTGTAGATAGGTCTCCACGGTCTTCGGAATGCAGGAGGGAGGCGGCTGCTGCGCGGAGGAGGGATGCGGGGGGCTCGGGCTTCGTGCGCCAGTAAGAGGCGGCTTGTGCGAGAGTGGTGCGGATCTGGACCAAGCGACCTTCACGCTGGTACAGGGAGACTAGAACGCTGAGAAGTCCGGGGTTGAAGCGGACGGATTCGTTAGATCCCTCCAGGCTGTGGAGTGTTCGCTCCATGGCTGTGATAGCAGAGGTGGTGTTGCCGCTGCTGACATAGAGCTGTACCACTGTCAGAAGAAGCCCGATGTCTGTGGGTCGTCGCTCCAGCAATGGAACGATCTGTTTAAGGGCTTTGGGGCCGGTTTCGCCTTGGGCGTGTGCTGCGGCGTTGTATACAGAGAGAAGGTTGGTGATGGCGTCGGTGGATGGGCTTGGACGTTTTGACTGTGCCTTGGCCGTGGACCGGATTATGCCATCATATTTCTGGACAAGGAGATCCGCGGCGTGCGAGTTGCCGACCAGATCGCGGTCCTGGAATTCGAATAACCGATCGTTATTGGTGGCATCTGGGGTGTCATGGAGGGCCTTGTATAGGATGTAGGGATTGACGGCAGTCGGGCGAGCGAGGACAACGTTGTTGCGGGCAATCTTTTTGGTTGATAACTCGGTGATGCTAGGAAAAGATGTAAGTAATAAGTTTCGAGTTGGTATGATTCAACGTACTTGTCCACCGCGATATCTTTGAGAACCACCTCGGCCTCTTCCAATTTTCCAAGTTGAATCAAGACATAGAGTTGCTGTACTGCGATGGGCAGCAGCTCTGCGGCCTTGTCTTCAGGTGAAAGGTCCTCTGATGTCCGGCAGATATCTATGCAAAGCGTCAGTATACGTCCTGGTTTTGGGAAAGACGGCGGCATGCTAACTTTGAGCTCGGTTAAGCAAGACCTCGCTCTGCTTAAATGCTCCCTTTGCGATATTCAAGCAAGCTGCGTTGTAGGTTGTTTCGAATGATTCTAAATCCTCCCTCGACAATCGGTCGTGGCGCACGAATTCCGTCTGTCCTTTCCATTGAAGCTGGGCATCGGTGGCCCACGAATTGATGTTCAGGTCGTTAATCTCGTGACCGAAAGATGTCGTATCCTTCGAAAGTTGTTCGTAAAGCTCAGCTGCCCGTCGGAAGTTCTCGGCACGATAGCGCTGTTACGACAAGACAATCAACATTCGTCCTCAAGCAGTAGAAGGAAAGATGGGGTGCCATACCACTTGTGCCTCGAGGTGACTAGCACCACGCCCAGAGGCTGTCTGAGTCAAAGCTTCTGTGGCTTCTTCAAGCTTCCCGCACTTGTATGATGCATATGCGTATTCCAAGCTTGCCATCTGCTTCAGCGCATCGCCTCCGGCCTGAAATGTCTTGAGAGCTTCTTCGTAACGGTCGAGTTTCAATAGAGCAACGACTTTCATATGTTGCGCTTGCAAATCAGATTTGGATTTGGCGAGGACTGCATTGCACGACTGGAGGACTTCCTCGTGGTCGTCAATCGATGCCCGCTGCAATAGCGAGGCCAGCGATTGCGCAACCATGGCGGGGGTTGGTCGAGAAGTTCGAGAGGGTATTAAGGGAGTGAAGAAGACTGGAACTTCAATTTCAGATAAAAGATAAAATTGCAAGATTTATACAAAGAACACCTTTGCCGATTTCCCCAGATCAACTGATATCGAACTCCAATGTGCGGAACTGGTCTTTCCCCGATGGAGGGTTTCTGCACTCAACGCCATGTGCCCCACCGTAGCTCACGTGTCCTATTCCAACATTTGATCTTCCATTTATGTCCTTCCTAGTCCTCTTATTAGTCTATCTCATTTGCTGCTTGTCTGACCACCAAGGCCTCCATATCATGTTGAATGCCTCTTTTTCTCAGACATCGGTTTTATAGAGTGCCTCATACTTCAAGCATCTACAGCCTCAATATTGGGGTCCCGACATATATATTATAAACAATAGACTGGAAGAAACACAAATACCAATTATTGAAGTGGAAAATTGACATCAAGGCCTAGCCTATGTTTTTTTATTGTTGAATTACAAATGAAATGACCATCAACCAACTTGCTAATTGGAGTCGTAAGTTCTTACTGTTTGCAACTGAGCCTCGTTTTATAGACGGGTACATTTACTGGAGATCTGAAGTGCTTAAAGCACAAAGCTCACAGTACAAACTAAGATCAGCCGTTATCCTGCGTGGCATGACATAGAATGGTCCGAGAAACTTAAGATCAATGATGGACCTGACAGCTAGGTCATTTGAACTAACAGCCATCTTTTTTCCCTAGTGGGAGGACTTGTATGGACCACTCTGCTTTCCATCTATGTTACTTCATAGTACTATCAAAAGCACAGAGGAGAGGAAGGGAGAAACCATGGCAGTCCCTGTTTAACATTGCTCCAGGATGCATGCATTTGTTGATTTTGATGTATCCATTCATGTACATCCAACTTGAATTCATACTACTTATGAACGTCTAGTGCCTCTGCGCTAGCTACCAGCAACGCATCTTGGGGAAGATAGTGCGGGGGACGATGAAATCTGGAGATAAACAAGAAATAGGCACACAAATATTGTATATGTTGTACGAATAATGCGCAAGGCAGATACGCTTTCTTCTGCGACTCCAAGAGGCCCCACTGGGATTGGCATTGGGATTGGGGGCCAGATCGGCTCGACCCCCATGCAATTACGGAATACGGAGTATAGATCGGCCACGCCTCAAAGGTCACGAGAAAAGAGTACTTTGGCTTGAATATCACCCAAGGATCTTCAATCAAGACAGTGGGGCCGAGTGAGAGCGTAATGGGAACAACCAAACTGGACCAAGGAGGCTCCAAACGGTATATCCAAAGTAAACTGTTATCGAGTACTTCATACCATAACCGTTGTTCGGACATTACTCCGTTGTAATGGTAATGCTTATCTCGAGTGAAACAGTCCACGGGTGTCTTGGCTGTCGAAGCCAACTAGGCGGAGTTACACACGGGTAGAGGACGCGCGGATGTGGGGACCGGAGGGTCTTGGCATTAGCACAGTTGTCCCTCTGTACTTTGTACTTTGTACACTGTTTTTGGAGTGTAGAGCATCATCATCATGTTAGACAGTATTAGAGATAGAAGGAATTAGCATAGAACCTATGTTATTTCTTTTATACTGACCCTTGATCAACTACTACCTGAATATCATTTCCAACCAATTTTCGATGGGACCTCGAGTCCTGCATTATACGAGTACACGTGACTGGCCCCAAATGGACCCCTTCAACGTCATCGATCGTCTCTCAGACTCCCCTTAGAGAATTGGCTCTGTCCATCTTCCATGGAACCATGATCGTCCCTTGACCCTTGTCTTTTTAACTTTCAATTTCTTTCTCTTCTTCCTCATCCTCATCCTATTCCTCAACCCTCTCTCTACAAACCATTGGGGTATATTTATACACTTTCATTCGCCCTACCGTGGGCCCTTGATTGTGTTCTAGACCAAATTCTTGCCTCCGCAATGCGATAGAACCCGACACAATCTCACAACACAAAATATGCTATTCAGCGCCCGGGATGGGTCCGTTCCAGGGGCATCATGGGCCTGGAAAAAAGTGCTGCGGTTTGGAATTGTCTTCTTGTTCGTGGTAGGGTTCGCCGCCGTATTATGGCCCTCGGTCGACTCAGTGAAATTGCCGCTGCAGACGGCTCCCAACATCACCCTCGCCACCGATATCGCGTGCGATCTCGATTACGACAGATTGGCCTCCATGAATGTTATCAAAGTCGCTCAGTACACTCGTCGAGAAATCATACTCGATATGACGGATGAACCAGTACCCTACACGCAGTGGCTTGAACAGCCGCTCTTGGAGGAGCCGAAGGGAAGTGAGGGAGCAGCGGACGGGTGCTCAATTCCAGCACCAGTGTCCTTGCGCGTTCCTCAACCGCGGAAATTGGCGGACGCAGCACACATCGATTTTGGAGTCGCGACCAGTGTCGAGAGATTGAACGAGTCTCTGGATGCGTTCGCCCACTGGGCTGGATACACGCGCACTCGGATTTTCGCGCTGATCGAACCTGATCGCTCGGAAACTGGAATTCGGGATGTCAAGGCCAAGGCCGACGGTCTGGGGATTAACCTCCACGTCATTGAGTCGGACGATGACTACCTCAA